ATCGTATCAAGAGGCCAATACGATGTAAAAAATATATCAATGTCATTATTTTTCAGAATTTCTTAGGGTATCATTTTATTGTCACTTCATCCTGTACCCTTAAAGAATACTAAACAATAAAAAAGAAGGCGATCCTCTAGACAAAAATGAATCGAAAATATAGAATAACATTTTTTTATACGAAACTTTATTTTCGAAAAGATCGATTTTGAACGCGAATCTATTAGTTTTGATAGCATTTTCAAACATAGTGTCGTATTATCTGTTTTCCGTTGATTTTACGACCCTCTAACTACCAGTTTATATCAAGTTATCGCAAATGACAAGGTATAGCAATCTGCAGTTTACATATACATATATTGATATTTATGTTGCATTAGGAACTTGTGGCGATAATGCTTCTGCTATAAGTACGTAACTATCCCATCCACTGCCCTAACTATCAGATGGCGATTAAGTTTTCAGTATAATGGAGCACTGTCACGCCTTGCAAAAGGTGTTGTTGACTTATTAAATTGATTTCTTAGCCTCCAAGATCACCTGATACCATACTACTCAATTGTTATTAGGTAGCTAATATCAGAGAAAAATACTATGAAGAAATTCAAAAAAAAATTTTCTAATTGAAAGAAACAATTATTTTAAAAATTTTTTAAATTAACATATACGTTATTATTCGACTGCGCAAAATTTGAAGGGCATAAAAATTCAAAATGTTGGAAAAGCTCTGTCTTTATTGTTTGAATCCCCACTGTTTTCACTGTTTACAAACACTTGATTATAATAACAAATTAAGCTATTTAGAAAGAAAACAATATAATTATTATGTCATAAGAATGATTACGATTGTGTTTGGTCTCATTTTTGTCGTACAAACCTTGTCAATTTATTGGTATTCTCGTAAAGATGAAATGAAAAATATAGAAAGTAATATTTTTATTACTGCATGGTTCATCTCGTGCGCGATAAAAATCGTTCTCAGCTGCTCTGTAACTTTTTATGGAGCTGATTCAATTTTAACAAGTCTGTTAACCAAAGTTATTATTTCCGTAATTTAAGAAGAAAACAACCGATATGAAGACGTTGCTAACTGAAAAATAAAGTATGACGAAATACATATATACATCACAGTACGTATTAGACCACATTAAACATGACATAGAAATTAACACCAAATTAAAATTAATGTGGCATTTAATTAAAACTATATCACTAACTTCGCTGGGATGCGAATGAAATAAAATAGCTGTCCGAGTAATCGATCATGCCCCAGTTATCGAACACTGGGCACAGATTTGTTTAATATTACAAAAACATGTTGCATTTGACGATATCTAGGAACTTTATGAAATGATTATTATTAATACAGAATAATAAATACATATTTCAAACAGTTCATATAACGATTTTATGAAAATTTTATTTAATTAAAACAGAAACATTTCTGTAACGTCAAAATATAATTATTTGTCTTCTTATTAAAATACTTTACAGCATAAGGTTTTTCTAAATCTTATTGCTTCGTTATAAATAAATAACAAAAAATAAAAAACGTGATAAAAGAAAAGTTGAGAAAACTTGACGTTCGAGTAACGTGCAAAGGTTCGATAGAAATAAGTAACACTGTAAATAATAACTATAAAGAGTTATTCTAAACTTTTGCTCAAACTTTTCGCGAATAATGAAACAACAATGAAACAGAACTATAGGCTTTGTATATACAGTAACGTACAAAAGTGTGATCCGCCTCTTTTTAAATAAGCCTATGGAAATCCAGTAGTTCGTATATTCGTACGTAAAGTAACAATGTGCAAAGTGAAACGGCATTCGTAAGTTCGCAAAGCTAGCTTGTCAGAATTTTCTGTTTTCTTTCGAGATAATGCGCACTCGTATACATTATACCTTTTAAAAAGCTTTTTGTGTCAAAAGGGACATCGCGAAAATTAGTCGTGAAACCTTACCGTCAGCGTAACTCGGTCGAATCTCTTCCTTTAAATTAATGATAGTAAAAGAGACGTTTAGTATAGAAACGCAACGAACCTGATCGAAATAAAGTTTAACTCGTTTTACAAGCAAAAAATACTTTTTTATATTACTATCGTTTTAGAGAAAGAAAAAAATAGTATTTGTCTCTTAAATAAATATACTCGTTAATTGCTGAACAAATAAATGCATCGACAAATTAAAAATAACAATAATAATCGTACGAATTCGTTTTTAATATGAAAAATACAGAGATCTAATGACATTATTTATTTTTAGGTAAAATAACTGTTGTTAAGTATTATATTTTGAATTGAATATAGTTACATATTATGGAGGTGTGAAACTTATTAAACTATAGAAAGATTTGTGATAAAAATTCTTTTTAAATAATGTTTTACTAAAATTTTATCTTCGTTTAAAAACTTCTGTGATTGAAACGAAAACAAATCTGTTAAAGTACATCAAATATCATCTAAAGAATGTCGCTGAAATAAAAAGCACACACAATACAAACCGGAAAAGCTGCGAATAAACACCTAAAGCATTCAAGATAATAGTTGATGATAACTGACTGGCAAAACAATTTACATGGAAAACATTTCTCCATAATTTCTCAGCGAGTAATAATAATCTGCAACATCATTTATGTAGAAAACTAATCAAAATGGAAAAACATTTTGTTTAATAACTTACACGCCTCTGTGTACAGGTAATATGTATAATAGATTCGATACTAAGTTTGTATGTAATATGATATTAACGATATTGGATTTTATATTCAAAGTATGTATAACCAGAGACAGGACTATAGAACGGCGGTACTTAGCAGTATAAATCAACTTTCACGCCTACTTTCTAATTCATCCCCTCGTACTTTCAATGGCAACCCTAATGTTTCGCATACAACCATCCAATAAGTAAAAGCAGTACAAAATACGCGAATATCATAACTTTCATGCTGTAACATTTTTAACAAATTTTGTAAAACTTTTTACGTTTGGCAAAAGGACCTAGTCATTTTTTAGCAATACATTTAACTTATGTGAACTATTTTAAAATACACGATAACCTAAACTGCGCCTATAGTCAAAGTTGAGATCGATTAGATTCTATTTCGAATTATTTAGACGAATTTCTATCGGTGTTAGATCGTAGAAACCTTTTCTTCACGACGTGTATTTTCTTCGAATTCTTAAGAATACATATATGTTAAATCAGTGTACAATGCATATGCACGTAAATCGTTAAAAAACTCGATAGCGAATGATTTAAAGAAACATCACACGGAAATATCGAATTAAACAGTTATGATTCAACTTATCTCTATCGCGATTAGGATCTTAATTGCACGTGTTAAAAGGTTGCAAAAACTGTCTATAAAATTTCATACAAGATCCGATGGAACAGTAACCGGACTATGACAATTTTTATTTACATAATTCAAGCAATCGTTTGTAATCCCCCTCAAAATAGCCCCTCTTTGTGTTGACGCAGGAGAATAAACAATCCTATCACTCTTCGGACCAATAGTGTAAACAGTTCTCTATAAGATTGTTTGTACGAGCTTATTTTGCACTACTTTCATCTCATTTTGTTATCGATAAGTAATTGAATGAATGATTTAATACAAAATTATATATAGCAAAATGTCTCAGCACTATAAAATATACTACTGTTCAAATAGAACAAATTGTAAAGTTCAAATAGGTTAACAAAAACATAAAACATCTGCAGGAGTACATCGTCACTTTAAACATTAATAGAATCATTCTCGAAAATATATATATTATTACCAAAATTAATAAATAATTACATTGCTTTAAAAACAGTAAAGTGTACTAATTTTAGAGGCCATTGTAAAGTTCACGAATCAATTAAAACAATTATTTCGAAATAGAATCTACAAATTATATTAAATGATATTTCGCTGATTATTAGTACCTGAACTGTTTCGAACGAGTTTTTAAATATCAATATTACGTTATAGTAAGATACGTTTATTTTGCTTTTAATTGGTAAAAACTTATACAACATGCATAAAAACAAACTTTTCTTATAGTAATTATAAGAATTATAGTTTAATTTAATAGATAAGATACCGAATATTTTAAGAAATTAATTATTGCAATGCTTAAAATTTAAAAGTCATTCGAAAATGGTGATTGATGAGGAAAATACAATATAAATTACAACGATATATAAAATTTTAATCGTAATAAAATATTTGTAACGTGACTTTAAAATACCCAAACGCTTTGAAACTTTCGAATGATAGTGCATCTATTATAATATTTATGTCGAGATTGATGCAACATGAAATCTGTTTCCAAATTCATGCTGGTAACTCACGATTCAACGGTAGCGTGTAAAGTCTGTTTTAATAGCTTTGAACCGAGTAGTGACATGTGCTGATACATGTAGAGCAAAACATTTAAGTTTGAAAACTTGCACGATAATGAATACAACACTATACAATTACGATATTCCAAGAAAAACGTTACACTTTGTCGCAATTTTAGATTAAATGATAATGTGTAGTCCCTTGTCGCTCAATTTCGAATTTGATCTTCTTTTACAACATTCTACATATTCGATAATTGCATATAACATTGCTAAATATAAGAAAACTATCATTCCTGGTTATTCTTATACTTAAACGAGATTTCCAAAAACCGCGCCCAGAAATTAAATATCGACAGGGATTTATTAGATTCATAGAAATCAATGTAAAAATCAGTAACATATAAGATTTTTGTAATCTTACCGAAAACGCGAATGGAATTTCAAACATATATGACAATAAATTTTGCGAAATCAACTGATAAATCCCGACTAGAAAGTAATTCCTCGATACGTACAATGCGTAATAACAGGTACCTGCTAAAAAATGATTTATAAATACCATACGAATATTAGCTGTGCCGTACTACGCGATATTGGAAACGTTACTAGTTTACATACACAGACACGCGCGACCGCGAGCAGACAAAAATTCAAGAAAAAGGAAGACTTACCATTCTAGAAACGCATTGGAGAACGGTACCACATTTTTTTCCGGCGAAATTCGAGTAGCAGTGCACCACGAAGATGCACCTCGATGATGCACCCACCCTTGGTCACATGTCCTAATCCTTTACGACGGGCACCACCTATACACGAGATTATTCAGTTCCGATCCGGCAGTTCACGTTGTAGACGGTTGGCCTAGCCCGTCGCTTCTGTCCTCTCGCTATATCCTCCTCCTACTCCTACTCTACCTCTTTTTCCTCCTCTTCCTCTTCCTCCACCTTCTCGTCCTCCTAGTCTCACCACCTCTGGCCGTGCGCAGTTCCTTTCCCATCCCGTGTACGCTGCGCGTGGAACGCAAACCACCCCCGCCGCCCCATCGACAGCACCCTGAACTTCGTCGGTATTACACATACTGAGGTACCAAGGGGAAAATCTATAAGAGCCGCGGCTGCGCCCTCGCCGCTCCGGGGGGAGAATTTGCGCGCTTAAGCCTTCTTACAGCTTCGCGGACTTAATCGTCGTGCAAAGATGTCCTGTGCGCCCACGGGGACCTTGCCCCGCGATTGGAGATCGACGGACAATGTAGGACGAAGAATCGGTACGCGAAAAAAAAAAAGAAAGGCGAGATCGTAAAATGGCTCGTGACGGGACGAGACTGCGGGGGTGGTTGTGCTCGAACTACTATCGAACGTACACGTGGGAAGTTCTATGTAACGCGAGAGGGGTAATGTTACGAACGGTGAAAGAGAAAACAAATCGTTTCGATCGAAATTAAGAACTTTATCTGATACAGAAATATTCTTATTCGAGCGGTCTTGAAAATCTTGATTGGCTCGAGAGTCTTACGATTCTTGGAAAAATAAACGATTTGAGACAATTGTCTTATACATATATTCATACGATCCTTTTTTAACGTTTGACACGAAAGAAATTTTGGAAAGTTGTAATTATTAATATATTCGACGATTCTTATACGTATATGTATATTACGATTCTTGGAAATTTTGATGAAAGATTTGAGACAATGTCTTACAGATTTCTACGATCCTTTTTTATTGCATTCATTAACGTTTGATACGAATGAAATGGAAAGTTGTAATTGCTAATATATTTTTTTTCTGTTAGTCGTTTCTATATTGTGAAGTTACGTATAATTTAGTAATTATTTAGTTTCCCATTTATACAGATTTTGATGATTTTGAAATCTATTATAGGGAACAGGATTTTAAGTAACTTTTTCCTATGCACATACATATATGTATATACACAACTTTTTATATTTAATTCTCAAGACTTTAAAGACGATCAAAAATTTTTTAATTCTCAATACTTCCAAAATAAAATTTTTTTATACTTCATTTTCAAGAAAATCGAGTTTGAAAATACATGACATCGCGTGTAAATAGAAACAGCGAGTAATAAACTGACGCGCCAGTGTATTATGGTAATGCCAAATCGTACTCAATCGTACTCGCGTACGACAAATTTTCAACATTATCTCAAAAACGAAACACTATAAGAAAAAAATATATTCCACATTTTCAATTATTTTAGGGTGAAACCACTCCCCCGCCGATTGTACTATGGTTATACTAACTGTATACAATCTAAGACTAAAGATAACATTTTCGAAAAATATACATATTCAAGATCATTTATGTTGCTAATCTTACACAGAATTTAATCCGTCAGAATCTTGATGAACAGATTTAATAAAAATAATCTTGTTAATTTTTATTAAATTTCTAATTTAAATTTTATGAATTACTTAATTAAGCAAAAATAATTTTTAGTAACAACGATAGAGCTACACACAAAATAGTCTCGTTTAACAATTTTTCATAGTATAGTGAAATATTACTCGTCAAGAACATGCTTCTTTCTACAGAAGATTGTAGATTCTATGCCAGACGATTGCTAAATACAGCAATTTACGGTATGAAAGCGGTATTATTACAAAAATTGTACGTATTATACGGGTACTTAAAGAAACAAAGGCTTGCTAAAATACAGTAATGTTGTAAAAGGTGTTCATGACACGAGAGTTGGGGCTGGCTTTCACACATATTGTTCGACAAGGGAAGCGAACAGGACACATTGACAATGAATAAGCGAGATACAGCATAAGGTAGCGAACCCCGCCCTATCTGCAACAGCTAAAAACGATTCCTATCGCGAGATGAATCATGCAGTAACGAAAATTTAAATTTGTTATAGTTTTCATCATACTCCTATAAGAATATTATCAAAAGATTCGTGAGGTTTTTCACAATCTTTCTATATTTTGAGAGATAGTATTACAAACACTGTGTGTTAAATATCTGCAATTAAAATAGCCTGAATTAAATTTTGTTTCGATTCATTTTCAGTGAAAAATTCTTGGCAATTGAGCGGTAAGACTCTTAGGAAAATATAAGAAATTAAAAGTTCTATTAGCTGATGACACATTTTAGCGCGTGCCTTATCAGTTTCCGGTATCGAGCAACAGTCTAGACAATCCAGAGTGTCGTTCGCTTCAACGAATTCCTAAAATTGAGAAAGATAACCGACATAGACACTTCAATTTGAAAATTTTAAAGTTCTTAAATTATTTACGTCAATTTTTAAGTTATAAACAATGGCAACTGATAAAAGAAACCGAAGAGGTAAAACTAGAGATAGGAAGAACTTCAATTTAATAAAGAAAAAAGAAAGAAAATTTCGAAAGGATCAAAAAATAAATTCATTAAAATGATTTTTTTAGAAAAATCGACGTCTCAGATTAGCAAAAGTAGCAGCAGAATTTACACATAAAGTTAAATTAATGGTAGTATGGGTGAATTTTCACCCATACACTATAATTATAATATTATTGTTTAAGTTTTAATATTGAAAATAAAATGAAAACCACATTCTCTGTAAAACACATGTTTATCTGTAGAAAAATTAAATGCAGTAACGATATATCAAAATTTCTCTCGGTTGAATTTTCACCCATGGTCAGTGATGCCAGAAAAGCACCGTCGGGTGCCCTACTCACGCATGCCAGATACGCGTACGTGAGCTCGTGGAGTTTCGGAAAGTCGACAAAGGCAAACTGACGCATGCCCTCTTTCTTGATTCTCCGAAGCTGCCCGAAGTAATTTCGGACCGCTTCATGGGAGTCGAGAGAGAAAGGCTCACATTTGTCTTCTCGCTCTTAACAACTGAAATCCAACCTCCCGTCAACGGCATACGATTTGGATTCTCGAGCCGAGATTCTCGACTGCCCAGGCATTTTTACTTTCCGACCTATGTAGGCGCACATAAGCAAAGTACCCATAATGAAAAAAAAATTTTGTAAAATTTATTTTACGGAAATACACGTTTTAAGACCTGATCATATATTTTTTATTTGTTTAAAGTCGCATCAACCGCTAAGGGTTATTAGCGACTCGGAGAATACATTTTTAGAGTTTGTTGTACAATTTGGTAATTTTGAGGTACTGTAATAGATTTTGGGTCGATGTGTTGTCCTTCAGATTGTCCTTTAGGGTTGGTTTTATGTTGAGCCGTTGCCTGATTGGAATATATTTTCTGCAGTGGATGATGATGTGTTCTATTGTTAGGAGGTCTTTGCATGTTTCGCATATTGGTGGGCCTGTTTTTTGGAGGAGGTGTTGATGGGTCAGTTTGGTGTGGCCTATAATGATTCGTGATACTCTCACTTGGTCTGGTCTGGGTAATTTCCAGGTAATGGATTTTTCATAGAAGTCATTTTTGATTAATTTTGTACGGGATTTGGTTGATGTGCTCCACTCTTTGTTCCAACAGTTTTTACTTTTTTCTTTGAGAATGGAGAGTAACGTTTCCAGGTGAGTGCTGTTGTCGTGGTGGTTGGGGGTGGATGAGTTGGCTGCTTCTTTAGCTGCACGGTCCGCTTTTTCGTTGCCGGTTATGTCAATGTGGGAAGGAATCCATATTACTGTTATTGAGTTGTTCTTTTGGCTTGATCTGGTGTAGGTTTCTTGACATTCTTGGATGACAGGGTTGCTTGTCCATAGTTTTTGTGTTGCTGAGATGGCGCTTGTGGAGTCACAGAAAATTGCAAAATTTGTATTTTGGTCGGTTAAAGTTGATTTGATAGCGTGTTTAATTGCTTGAAGTTCGCATAGGAAGATAGGTGTTTTGTGATGGAGTTTAACTTTTCCGGTTGACTGGTTCCTGACAATTGCGTATCCGGATCCGAATGGTGTCTTGGACCCGTCTGTGTATATATGCACGTGGTTTGCGAGTCCCGCTTCCAATTCTTGGAACATAGCCTTTAGCATGATTGGATCAGATTTCTTTTGACTGTAGTTCAGTAGAGAGGTGTTAGTGCTGATTCTTGGAAAGGTCCACGGAGGGATGCTGGGGATGGATCTGCTCGATGTGAGCTGGATTTCCATGCCAAGCTCCTTCAGATAATTACTGATTCTGTAGCAGAGTGGATGGGGTGTTCTTTTTCTTTGTTGCAAGTAGTTTAGGTTGTTTTTTCTGAATACATTATGGAAGACTGGGTTCTGTGGGTGGGAGGCAATTCTGACTGCAAATTTGATACTTAGGTATTTTCTTCTAATTCGTAATGGAGGTTCTGAAGCTTCACTAAGGATGCCGTTGATCGGGCTAGAGCGGAAGGCGTCCACAGTTATTCTGAGAGCATTGTTGTGTACAGGGTCTAATTTCTTTACTATGTTGGTGTTGGCTGAGTTGTATATGATTGATCCATAGTCCAGTTTTGATCTCACTATTGCCTTATACGTTAGAAGTAGGGTTTTGAGGTCGGCTCCCCAGTTATTTGCAGCTATTGTTCTAAGTATGTTTAGTCGTTGGTAGCTATCAGTTTTGAGTTTATTAATATGAGGTGTCCATGTTAGCTGAGAGTCAAATGTTAATCCTAATAGTTTGATAGAGGATGTTTCCTTGATTATCAAATTATCGAGAGTTAGTTTTATGTTCGCATATTGTTTCTTTCTGCTGAAGGTAATTATTTTAGACTTGGTGGAAGAAAATTTGAACCCTGACGTGAGTGACCATTTCTGCAATTTATCTAGTGCTTCTTGTAGTTGGGGCTGGGTAGTATGGAGGTTCCTTCCTTTGCATAATAGGGTTAAGTCGTCAGCAAATAAAAGTCCTTTGACCGGGACTGGTATGTTGTCCAGTATGTCATTTATAGCGATTAGGAATAGCGAAACACTTAAGACGGAGCCTTGAGGTACTCCGTTTTCTAGAATTTTTGTAGTGGATAGGACGTTGTTGGCTCTAACTTGGATAGTTCTTATAAATAGAAAGTTACTGATAAAATTAAGGATGTTTCCACAAAGGCCAAAATTTTGGAGAATTCTTCGGATTCGGTTTCTCCAGACCATGTCATACGCTTTTTCTATATCTAAGCAAACAGCTGTTGCATACTGGTTATTAGCAAACGCGTCGCATACATTCATTTCCAGGTTTATTAGGTGGTCATATGTGGAATGAAATTGTCGAAAGCCACTTTGTTATTTAGCGATGAGGTGCCTTGATTCTAAGTACCATCGGAGTCTATAGTTTATAATTTTTTCCATTAATTTACACATTGTGTTTGTTAGAGCAATCGGTCGATAACTGTTGGGGTCCGTTGGAGTTTTGCCTGGTTTCAGGACTGGGATGACAACAGCTTCTCTCCATTTGGTTGGGAAGATGTTGTGGGACCAAATGCAGTTGAATATTGCAAGTATGTAGTTAAGCGCCTCTTGTGGAAGATGGGTAAGGAAGATGTTGGGTATTCCATCGGGTCCGGGACTAGTATTCGAGCATTTGTTTAGGAAGTATAGCAGTTCATCAAATTGGATAGGAGAATTTAGGTTGGAGGAGTAAGGTGTTTCTTGGACTATGATTGGAGGCTTCGACGCGTTAGAATCAGTTTTCTGTTTGTAGATCTGAAACTGTTTTGAATAGTTGCAGTCACTGGAGTTTTTCTGGAAAGTCGTTACCAGGATTTCGGATATTTCGTTTGGGTCGTTGGAGATAGAGTTGTCTTCCTTATTTAAGGCTGGTATTGAGGAGTGTTGGTTTGAACCTTTGATAGCTCTTATCTTTTTCCAAATTGCTGAGGGAGGGGTATGTGGATTAAGAGTTGAGGTATAGTTTATCCATGATCGTCTTTTACTGTCCTTTGTGATCTTACGGGATACGGCTCGGTATTTCTTGAAGTTGATAAGGTTTTCTGCGGTTTTGTGTTTTTTGTACCGGTTGAAAGCATGTTTGCAGTCTTTCACAGCTTGTGAGCATTCTTCATTCCACCATGGATTATATTTGACGTTGGCGTTGGTGTTGTTTTTTGTCTTCGGGATGGCTGCACTGGCTGCTGCGATGATGGCTTCTGAGAAGTGTTCGAGTGCTAAGTTTAAGTTTGTTGGATTTATTTCTATGAGCAGGGAAGATGAGCCCAATATGACTTTCCGAAACATATCCCAGTCAGCTTTCTGAAATTTCCATCTTGGGGCTTTATTAGTTTCAGTGATTCGGTTTAGTTTGCATGTCACCATTATAGGGAAGTGGTCACTGTCGTATAGGTCTTGTACTGTGTTCCATGTAATGTCTTGAGTGATTGTTGGACTGCATAGGGATAGGTCAATTGAACTGAACCGACCGGATGCCGAACAGAAGTGAGTGGGTTCGTTAGTGTTTAGTAAGCTGAGGTTTGCTGAGTTTATTATTTTTTCCATGGAATTTCCTCGCGAATCGGTCTTATGTGATCCCCAGAGGATATTGTGGCTATTAAAGTCGCCAAGTATAATGAAAGGTTTTGGAATTTGGTTTATTAGATGAGTGAGTTCGGATTCATCTAACAATAAGTGATGGCTGTTCGGTAGGTATATATTGCATATGTACAGATCTTTAGGGCATGTTACTTTAGTGATGATAACTTCTAGATTGGATGTGACTGTTATTTCTTGGCTGTGGATGTTATTTCTGACAAAGGTGGCGACTCCTCCACTTGCGTGGGCAGTGTTGCGATTTTTGAAATATGTTTTGTAGTTTTTGATTTTACCTGAATTATGATTTTTGAAGTTAGTTTCTTGTAGGCAGATTATTTGTGGCTGAAATTCTTCGACTAGTAGTTGGAGGTGCTCGAGTCGGCTGTAGAAACCATTCAAGTTCCATTGGATAATTTGTAGTGACATAATGGATGTTTGGTTGGTGTCTTGGGTTTATAGGGGTTTTGGATCTGGGGAGGATGAGTTCCCCTCTTTCGAGAGGATGGTTTGTAGTGAGATTGCTGTTGCGAATTCTGTTTCTAGTTTTTTGATTAATCGGTGTAGTCTGTTTTTCATTCTTTGGTCTTGCATTAGGGGGTAGATTAGGTAAAGCATATGTATTAATGCTTTCTTGTCAGAAGTGTAGTCGTTCGCGATAATGTTTGGGTTTTCTGTGCCGATAGCATTTTCCAGGAAACTTTTCAGTTGAGAATAGTTAAGGATAAGATGGTTTGAGGGGTCATCCAGAGCTGTTTTTGCTGGTTTTAGAATGTCGTCTATTTGTTCGATGATTCTTGTTAGTGATTAGCTGCGTTTGGGTTTCTTTTTCATAGTGGTGGGTGCAGGTTTATCGTTTGAATTAGAGTCGTTAACACATGGTCTTACGGGTGTTGAGATGGGCTTGTTTGTTGTCTGTTGGTCTTCTTCTGAGGTGTCTGATAGTGGTCTCTTTTTTAATTGAGCTTGAGGGTTTGCAATGGCAAGTATTGGGTTATTGTCTGCGCTGGAGTTATCCGTAGTGGGGTTGGCTGGAATGTTGACATTGGGGTCTTTTCCTGTCTCGCTGATTTCGGTTGTGATTGGATTTTCGTTTGTGTAGTCTATGTTATATTGTGAGTTATTGACGCTTGACGTTGGTTCCGTATCGTTTAGTGTTAGGTTATTTCTCGTTTCCTTGTTGGCTGATGTGTTTGATATTGGTGTCTCGGTTTGAGTATTGCATTGGTTTGCAATATGCCCTTCTTGTTTGCACAAAAAACAGGTAACTTTGTCAGTAGATACAAAAATTCTGTACTGTGTGTCGTCGTACGTGATTAGAAACGATTCGGGGAGTTTATGGACATCGTCTGGGTTTATATAAATTTGTCTTCTGAAGCTCATTATGTGGGAAAGACCGGGGTCTTGTAGTCCCGCTCTGAGGAAGGATAGTTTCGAGGTCAGTTTGATGTTATGGATTGTTAGTGCTTTTTCGATGTAGTCATGTGGTATGGTAGGAGAAACGTTGGACAAAATAATTCGTTGTGATGGATTTATTAGGGGTCTGATTGGGGTGGATGTATTGTTGATGGGCAGTGATTTGAAATTGGAAACGAGGGCTTTTGTTGTTGTTTTACTATCGAGGTAAACACAGATTCTGTTGTTTGATATGCGGGAGATAAATCGTATGGCGTTGGGTCCAGTGATTATTGCTACAGCTTGTGCATATTCTTTGATAGTAGTTCCGTCTATGACGTCGATTATTACTGCCTGATCCTTGGTTGGAAAAACACTGCTTACCGTGACTGATGCATACGATTTTGTAGGCTGAACTGTTGTATTGGTTTGGGTATGGCTCGTTATATTTTCAAATTCCATGACTTCCATGACGGGTCTTCTGTATTTAGAAGGCTCACCGATAGCACTAACGTTGTTGTGTGGTGATCCGCGCACCGACACGGCACAGTAGGCTGAATTATAAACACAGGAACTCGCGAGCGATTGTCAACACGTCTGATCGGTTTGACTGCCCGAGAACGAATGGATCATATTTTAATTATTGAAAAAAAAGAAATTTTTTTTATTAGTCCCATGTATGAGCGCACATATGTATATTATTAATACGATTTTTGAAAATCAAAATACTTTAAGATCGAAAATTAATAAATTAAAATGGGATTCCACTTTTTACCAGTATTGTGCACGCTGTGGCATTTTTCAATAACAAGAGTTCTTACTTTTATAACATAAACAAAACAGTAGAATTAATAATAGCAGAAATTAATTAATAATGATTTTCCTCGATTGTTTTGAGATAACCGTATCAATTTGTTATGACGAACTAAATAGAACTAACTAAAAACAAAGGAAAAGTGATCCCGTTTGCCAGTTTAATACAAAGTATGGGTTGGATCTTAAATTTTAAAAGGACATAGTCGAATATTTTTAAAGGTACAAAACATAGCGTTTCATTTTAGAACAGTAACATAAGTTAGCAGGTAATGTCATAAAACTGTTTTTCCCAGTTATATCCCTTTTTACCTGAAGTATAAGGTAAAAAGTACGAGCTACAAGGTACGACTATCCGAAAATCGTTCACATTTTATCAATGTAAATGAAGCGGCCTTTCCATCAGAGTTAAATACAAAATTTTGTAATTTCTGTGAAAACAGAACTTTCATTAGATGTAGGTGGTGCTTGAAATTGTTATGTTTTCACTGTTTTTACGAAAAGTACCATCCAGATTCATGTACTTCGTACATTGAAAATAACATATGTTAAATGTAATTGGTTAAATTCAACTTTAAAAAAAATATATTCGAAGGTCAGACAAAAATATAATGTCACATTTAGTGTACGATTAAAATATGATTGAAAAAAAAAAAAAGGATTTGTTTTGGCAGAGTTCGAACCTGCAGAGCAGAAGAAGCTCGGAACTTGCAGGCAAATACCTTATCATTCACGCCACGCTGGTTGTTGAATGTATTTCTATTTCTGAAGATAAGTAGCTATAATAGCTTTAATAATATCTCAAAGTAAAACCTAATCCAAAATCGGGTACCATTCCAACTTTTCCTTGTTAGAACCGAGTTTTCAATTTGTCTTAGCGAAAATCGTAATCACATTTTGCACATTATTCTAAAACATTTGTGGTATTCGTTTTCAATGCGATTTAAGTAAGCATGTAATGTATAAGATTTCATTTAATTTTTTCTTTTCTAGAGAAGATAGAGAAAAAGTTTATAAAATTTAATTCGTCCTAAGATTTATATGAAACATTTAAAAGATTTTTTATACATTATGCCTATACATATATCGGAACAACTATGAAACAAGAGGTATAATCATTATTATCCATGGACTGATTATAGTCAAAGTCTAACCGGACTTTGAAATGAGAACATAAAATTTAAATGTAAAGTTTCATTTAAATTCATTTAGCTATTTATACTCAATCGTATTAATAATATACATATGTGCGCTCATACACGAGACTAATAAAAAAAATTTCTTTTTTTTCAATAATTAAAATATGATCAGGAGGTCTTAAAACGTGTATTTCCGTAAAATAAATTTTACAAAATTTTTTTTTCATTATGGGTACTTTGCTTATGTGCGCCTACATAGGTCGGAAAGTAAAAATGCCTGGGCAGTCGAGAATCTCGGCTCGAGAATCCAAATCGTATGCCGTTGACGGGAGGTCGGATTTCAGTTGTTAAGAGCGAGAAGACAAATGTGAGCCTTTCTCTCTCGACTCCCACGAAGCGGTCCGAAATTACTTCGGGCAGCTTCGGAGAATCGAGAAAGAGGGCATGCGTCAGTTTGCCTTTGTCGTCTTTCCGAAACTCCACGAGCTCATGTACGCGTATCTGGCATGTGTGCGTGTGCACCCGGCGGTGCTTTTCTGGCATCTCTGATATTCGTATTTATGTAAAATTGTGTGATACGTTTAGATTGTATGTATACCAACTTACCAACAAAAAAGTTACTAGAAGAATATGAGTAGCTTCTGATTGGTAAAATACGACATGATTAATATCATTCTACCAACCAAAAGCCTCGTATCATATGTTACATCATGACACTTATTTATTCGCTAGTATATTATATTCCAAAGAACGAATAATAATTCATAGAAACAACACGTGCTTCACGATATTTGTAGGAAACCGGAAATAAAAATATTTATAACGAAATTAATAATTATGGATTTTCTTGTCAGAAAATTACTAGCCGAATTATTTAATTTTCACTTAACATTAAACCCTACTTAGACACTGTTGCTTATATTGAATTAAGATATGTTTTGAGATATATTATCTATGTCCTTTTTTATTTTTATATCCTCAAGGAATTAATTTTAAAAATGTTTTATGCGTAACGTGCCATATGTATCTACCTTAAAAGTATGTTTCTATTGATATCATATCGGTATATATGCATTTATATTTTACTGTTATTAAGTGAAATCAAAGTAAATACACATACAGTTATTTGATAGCAAAAATATTGCAATATATTATAAGTGAACTTTTCATTTTGTGAACAGAAATTTTGATCCAATTTTGCACTAATCGATTGCTTTTGGAACGCCATTTTCTTCGTTGCTCATCGCGCGATTAAATTTTACTTGGCATGAAGTAGTACAATGAAATAAAGCTAAGATTATGTAAATCTAGTACAATATAGAAACTATACGTGTAATAAAGGAATTCGAAAAAGTTTCACCATATTATATAGTGATATATACGTATATATAATTTTATATATGGTAGATTTATTTTTGTGGGCACTACAATTAGGATAAAATGTTCATGATAAACCGTGGGGGTATAATAACAATGAAGTGTTTGATAAATGATATGATTTAATTCCATTCGTTCATCGATTCTTCGTATACTTTAGTTACGTCATAAAGAAAGTTATCAATATTAAGTGCAACGTTAGTAACATTTCACTTGGTGTGTCATTTGTCTCGGATTGTAAGATTATTAAATCGCATTTAAAGGTCGACGAAAAAAATGGGTAAGCTCTTTACTTTTTATATTTTGCTGTTTCGCCATTTTGCCGGTAGTATTTTTATACTTGGTTCATACATTATTCATTTTTGAATATCGTAAAATAGTTTTTATATTTTATTATAAAAGCTCATTTTATTTGCGGTTATTCTTACTATAATCGAAAACGATAATCACAACTTTGTGTTTTACATTGAAAATATTGAAACAATCAATGAATATGTTATAGAAAATACAGGTGCAGTTATGATTGAAGGAGAAAATTACAAAGTAGTAGATGAGTGTATCGAAGATCAAGATACATCTAACACTACCCAAAATAATTCTATGGAGAACTCTCTAGAAACTGAAAATGCACCTATGGTTGCTGAAGACAAACCTATGGTTGCTGAAAAAGAACCTATAGTTAGTGAAAAAGCACCTATGGTTGCTGAAAAAGAACCTATAGTTAATGAAAAAGCACCTATAGTTGCTGAAAAAGAACCAGTGGTTGCTGAAAAAGCACCTATGGTTGTTGAAAAAGAACCTGTGGTTGCTGAAAAAGAACCTATAGTTGATGAAAAAACTTTTACAGTCAATGAAGAAGAACCTGTAATTGATGAAAAGAAACCTATGATTGTTGAAAAAGAACCTGTAAATGTAGAGACACCAAATGAAAATATTAAACAAGATGAAACAGTATCACATGTAGATATAATAAATAGTGTATCATCGGATAATTTAAATACTAATAATAATGATCAAAATAATGTGTCATATGAAAAAAATGAATGTACAGTACTACCAAATATAGACTCAGATAATTTGAATATTAATAATAATGAGCAAAATAGCATGTCAAATGAAGAAAACAAATGTTCAGAACAATTGAATACATATTCAATTGATTTTACTGCTGATATTAATTTAGATCAATTGGATGATCAAAAAGATATAACAGACGAAGATGTTCTAGATCATTTAAATGAAATTGAAAATATAGTTTTGAATAGTTCAGATTTTCCAAAAATAACGGAAAATGATGAATCTGATGAACAAAATGTGATATCTAATTCAGAAAATGATGTCACAATTATCGAAGAAGATGAAAAAACCGAGAAATGTGAGGAAACAAAGAAATGTGAAGAAACAGAGAAATGCGAAGAAACAGAGAAATCTGAACAAACTGAGTGGTATAAGAACAAGGTAATACATAAAAGATAATAAAATACATTTTATACATAATTTGTATTTTAAAATTGTTACTTAAAAGAAATAATGTTATACAGCTTGCTGAGAAAGAAGCAATTATAAAAGATAGATTGTCAAAAGTGGCCAGAGTTTTAGGAATTTCTTATCCATGTTACGAACAATGGTTAGAATGGGAAGAATCTGTGAATGGATCTCCTCTATGCAAATTGAAGCCAGCTAGACAATGTTGTTTGAAAAAACCATATACGAATCGTTGGAAATTTATCTGTAAGTATATGTAACTGTTTTGATTCGTATCTCTAATAAAGGTGGTAAGAAGTAACAAGCAATGCATTTCGAATTTTGTGCATTTAGGTAGCAGAAAAAGAGTACAAGAATCTCCAAAAAAGACAAGCGATGCTGATACTTATTTTACGAAAAATGTAGAAACAGTCTGGAAATTAGAAGCAAGTGGGGCGTGGGGTGTTAATGTAAACAATGAATCTGAATTTCCACCTTTTGTAATGCGTGCTGTAAAGGTACATGTAGTCAATTTTATTTGATTAACACTCGCGGTTGGAAGACAACGCAGGCGACGGTACTGGGTTCGTACGGACCTCAATCTGTATACCAGTGGTCGATTGCTATCCCCACCAGTTCTTCGAACTGGCTTCCTACTTGTCCCGACGGTCAAATATGTTTATGTTTTTAAATCTGTGAAATATCAATATGCCATGTTATATGTCTTTATCCCGTCGGCCAATATCCAAGGCACTGCTATATTATATACAAGTCATAATATAAAGTCATAATATAATAGCAATCGTGAATAAATCGAAAATAAAATAAATGCAGATAAATAATATTTATTCAGACGCGCACAGTAACATTTATGTAAATATTAATATTACATTTTATTCTATACTTATTATTATTATGTCCAATAGTTAAGAAACATCGTTTCCTTTTTTCGATTGTTGTAGCTACTTGTTTTATTATTTTTCGCGTCTAAAGGCCGAACGGACTCGGACATCGCTGTCCGAGTGTTAATACACTCGCTTTAGTTTTAAAGGCCGAAATATGTTCAGGCGTTTTCATAGTTACTAATTTATACGTGTAATATTATTAATTCAGATTTATAATGACTTTTACATTGCATAGATATTTGAAGAATTTCTTCAAACCACAGAACCAATTAGCCAAAACTGTACAAACGAAAGCTTCGCTGATGATATATCTGTAGAAATGGAATCAAAACCAAATATTGAAACAAATATTGAAGGGAAACAGGAATGGTCATGGTTACTTGTACGTTGCAATAGCATGGATGAGCTGATGCTATTTGCAACTGGAAAAAATATTAATCGTTCTACAATGGATCGTTTAAAACACGTTTATGAGTCTGGACCTGGAAAAGATTGCAATGTGAAGTCTCTTTATTGCAAGTCCACAAATAAGTAAGAATAGTTCCACAAAACTTACGACCGTTATTTTACGTGACTTTTATTATGAAGTAAATAATAAATAATTACATTATACTTACTAAATTTAGGTGTGATGATACTACTGTCACGGATACAACATTTTTGGTAGGGTCAGAAGCTTTAGATGAAGTTGTGGGTGGATTAAAAGTACAACTTGCACCTAAAACAAATTTTTGGTCGAATACTGCAGGTGCAGAGAATGTAGCTAATACAGTGATGGACTTACTTGCACCTAGTCCAAAGTCAACTTTGCTTGAAATAGGATGTGGCATTGGTCTTATTGGATTAATGATGGCATCTGTAAGTAATAGAGCTACATTTTTATTGAAAACTGTTGTTATATTTTTATTTCAAATTAAAAAAATGATTGCATTGAAATTTTAAATTTTTATAGAAATGTCAACAAGTTATAGGAGTGGATTCTCCATCAGAAGTAGAGGAAGCTGAAATGACATGTGAATTAAATAATATAAAAAATGCTTCGTTTATTATGGGATCTCCTACCGAAGTAATAGGAAAAATTATTACAGCAGTACAAAATCGCAAAACGTGTGCAGTAATTAATGCGAATACTAACATAGGTCGAGGTATATAAAAAACATATTACAAATACGCAAAGTTTATAATCGTCTCATATTTCAAGAATCTATTATGATCGATAACGATTAAAACTCCTACCAAGTATTTCATTAATTTTCATAATTTTCAATAAATTATTTAAAAATAATTATAGTAAAACAATATTAATTTATTTAAATTCCATATATATATAAAGTATGTATATTTTACAGCAATTGAAGTAATGACGTGTCTCAGGAAAATTCCATCTCTTAAACGAATAGTGATGATAACTACATTAACTAAACAATCAGTCCGTGCTATATTAGAATTAGCTAGGCCTGCAAATAATACTACTTTCGGATCACCGTTCATTCCAATTTTGGCATGTGTTGTTGATACTTTACCCGTTGGTCCTCATTTTGAAGCTGTTATCTTACTACAACGACGTATGATAAATAAATTCAACCAACAATGGTGCGGAAAAAATGCAGGGGAGAATATTAGAACGCCAGAAATGAAGATAGGTGAACAAAATACCAACGGAGCAGATAAGAAAATACCAAACAAAGGAACTGAATTACGGACAAAAAAGAACTTTAATAAATCGTTAATAAAACATCCTGCAAAAAAATCGAAAGCACCAATAAAAAAACCGGGACATACAAAAGCTACTGAGATTTCTACTGCAAAAAATAAATTCAAAGGGAAACGTGCTCTTTCTCCAGATAAAAGTGAAGGACCACCAAAGAAAATGCAGAAGTTCGTTAAATTTGGTTCCAAAGCTTGGCAAATGGGTAAGTTCGTATTTATTTATCAACATTTTCATAAAAGTTTAGTTCTTTTGTTATTTACAAAGTTTATATAAAATTTTAATAACATCATGTTTCAACATTAGATTTATCAACAAAAAAGAAAAACGAAAGGGCAACAGAAAACTCACAATTGCGCATCAATCCGTTATATGAAAAGAAATTACGAGAGCATAAGGAGCAAATTGATTTAAGGGAAAGACTATCTAGTAATCGATTTGATACAGATATCGCTCAAACAGTAAAAGAACATCAAGCACTTTTAGAAATAGCAAAAGAAAAATTAAGCGGACCAGCACCAACTGTTGACGTTAATACCGCTAAACAATTACAGAATATGTTGAATATGGTTTTAGAGCAAACAAATAAGCTACAAAGTCAGCTTCCACGTTCTGTTTGGGATCGTATTGCACCACCAGAAAATGTAAATTTAGATCAAAGAGAAATTAAACAGGAGGATGCTCTTTTAAAGGATCGATATATTCAGGAAATGAGCTCCCAAGATATACTAATCACAACGGCAAATAAAAAATGTTTAAATAATGAAGAATCTGAACCGAAAACATTTTATAAGAAGTACAATAATTTACCGCCTTTAGAACCAAATACAATAATGCCAGTGGGACAACCTACTGATTATAGGTTAGAAAGTCCGTTTTGCACGGGTACGACGGAGCGATATGAAACAGACATGCAACAACAAACTCAGGAAAATTCTTGGAATCGAGATAATAAATCATTCGAAAGAAATCGTTGGAACGAAATGGGACCTATGAGAAGAATAATTTTACCTATGAGAAAACAATCTTCTCCAATAAAACATCGTGCAACCGTTCCTAAAAGATTTTCTCCTAAACGTCCATTATTATCTCCCCCAAGACGTCCGTGTTCCCCTCCTAGAAGGCACTTTTCTCCTCTTGGCCGTCCAAACTCACCTGTTTATAGACAACGTTCTCCTTTGAGACGTCAAATGTCTCCTCCGCTGAGACGTCAAATGTCTCCTCCGTTAGATCGACCTGTCTCGCCATTAAGACGAGTATTACTACCAAGACGACCCGTATCACCGAGACGTCAAACATCGTCTCCACTGCGAGTTGAAATGTCTATGAATCGATTATCACCATTAAGACGTCAAGCGTCACCTTCAAGACGACAGATATCCCCAATAAGAATATCTGTATCTTCTCCTAGAAGGCAATTATCCCCAATAAGGCGACAAATGTCTCCATCCAGAAGGCAGATTCCTTCTCCTAACCGAATGATATCTCCAAACAGACAGAAAATGTTACTTTCTAAGCGACAAACAGTGCCACAAGAAAAGCAACAAATATCGTCAATGAGGCGTGCAGAATCACCACAAAGATTTTTATTTGGACGTCTCGCATCACCGCCAAGAAGACAACAATCTCCACAAGGCCGACAAATGTCACCAATGCAAAGGTATGTCGATGAATGGGATATACCAAGCAGAGGAGCCATTGAACAAAACACTGGTACTTGGCCTCGATCTGCTGAAAGAATGATCAAGGAACAGAATGTCTGGCGAAATGAAAAACCTTCAACATCCAACAACGATTGGGATCAAACCTCGTCTAACGATAGACGTCGTAAAACATTCAACCAAGAAAAATGGGATTATAAAGAGTCTATTCATGACGATACATGGATCAGTGGTTCAAATAATTGGAACTCTACAAAACCTATGGTTAAAGAAACATGGCCATCAAGTACTGATAACAGATGGTCAAGTATGTCTAATATACCTGGAAGTAGTAATGATAATTGGAATATTCGTGGAAAAGAAAGTGCGAATGCTTCAAAAGAATCTTGGTTGGACAAAAACAAACAAATTAGATGGGACACATTAAATACTAAAGATTCTTGGAAACAATCTGACAAAGAAGATTTAAATGATTTACCGGAAGATGCAAGAGATCCTTGGGGCGATGATGGTAATTTAGATTTAAAAGAAAGATGGCACAAACTTGAAAATACCGCTACATCATCCACGTGGAAAAGAGAAAATGAACAACAGAGTGACATGTGGTCAAAACAAAAAGATGATTGGCAAAACAAAGGGTTACCTTTTAATGCAAAACCTCAATGGCAAAATAATGGCATTCAAAACGTCGGAGAATCACGTTGGATGTCTCAAAATGATAATGAGAAAAAAAATCCATCAAATGCTTGGCAAAGTGGAAAAAATGTAGGATCTTGGCAAACACAAAATTCGAATTTTCAACAGCAACGTTCTTTTTCTACCACCCAATTTAAAGGTTTACATTAAGATCTTTGTTCCTTAATTTAATAATATTAATTATTAACAATTTAGTTTGTTAGGAAGTTCTTATCATTACATTACTTGGGTCACAAAGGGGAAACCATAAGTTTTTTACGTTCCAATCAAAGTAAAATGTATTTAAAAGCTATAACATAGGTAAAAATACGTGATATTTTTATAATGTAACTCGCGTTACATTACACAATTACCTATTACTGTAAAGTATGTTTTACGAATTAATACAAACAAACGTTTATTTAATTTTCCAAGCTATTATTTTGATGTTTAAACATTGAGGATGTTTATAAAGTATTACTTCTAAATACGATACGACTTTCCACAAAAGTTTAATATGTTAAAATAAAATCAGGCAAATGGTAATTATGAATATCTCCTTTGAGACAGTATAAAAAGTAAGTTTATATTGTACTTTTCAAATAAAACTGCATTTACATAAAAAGATAAAATATTTTCAATTAATTTTAATTCACATACTACACATATATTTAGTCCTTGAATTATACGGATTCGTAGATACGCGACTGTGTTTACATTTAGATCATTGTATGTACATAATTTGTATATGTGTATGTATTTATATATTAAATAAAATTTTCTTTTCAGTTTTTTTTTGATAAAGAAGTACATGCAGACTTATGTAACTTTGACTAACTTTTAAAACTAAGACTGTATGCCAAATTGATTGAAGTAAGAATATAAGGTCAGTTTTGGAATGATTTGCGAGTCGTACTAGGTTCGACGTTTTAGTTATGTAGTTCATTTTTTAAAAATGGATGTTAACCAATAAAAAAAAAATACGCGTCAAATATATTTTTAAAAACTACCTCCCATTAATTTCATCAAAATTGATGTACTTCTATGGATTCGATATGTTCCCTTACAAGATTAGTCAGCATTGTCCATACCCCATTTACTCATAGTATATCCTACAATCTTTTTAACCCGAGACTGATACTTTTATTTTTCCACATTACATATCTTGTACTCATATTATTCGATGTACATAGAAGACCTTGAAACGAATTAATCGCGTAAGTGGAGGATTTACTGTGTGTATACATGTACATACAGACATATTACATTTGGCAATAGATATTTAAACAGTTATAAAACTTTAATATATTCATTATCGTGAAAATGGATTAAGCGTTATAATCACATTGTGAATTGTTTAATAATTGTGACACTTTCACATAAAGAGTGCATATAATAAAAAACATATTGTCAATATACTTATACACATCAAAGACTAATTTAAACATTTACTTCAATTTACGTTTAAATGTTAAAATTTTCTAAATATGTAAACATGAAATCCATTTAAAATCATTACTTAGCTAACAGTATTTAATTTGAATAATAAATGATGAATAAAAACTGCAACAATTTATTCGCAACGTTTATTTGATTGAATAGTTACTTAAATAAGCTTTTGTTTATTCAACTCGAAGCATAATTTTGATTGTATAATTCAGATTGTAATTTTTGTTGAACAAATAACGCATTAAAGAATTGTTTGTTTTTTATTCGTTATTTAAAATTTGCATGTAGATAAGAAAGTTTTTTATTTTCTTTTAATATATATATAAAATACTTTAAGCATACTTACTAGCTGTATTATGTATGTATAATAATATGAAATTGCATACTGCTTACTATACTTACATTTGTACATGCGTACTTCGTATATGTACGTACGTGCAAATGTTATATGTTGTAACGTATTTACACTGAGTAAAAAGCAAGTTTTAAATATTGTTTACATTTAAGATAATAAAGTCAAAGTATTTCTTTTATTTATGTAAATAAGACTAACAAATGTTTCGTTCAAAGGTATAATATGCTATGATTTTTCAAGCTTATTATATGAACGAGGTTAAGATTGACTACAAGAATGTTTTTTTAGGTATCTTCTCTTTTACGAAATATCACAAGTAAAAATTCATTTAACAATGGACGTACCAATTTATTACAATGTTCGTTGCTTTCAACAGAGCAATCATTGGTCAGTACATCTAATACCGAAGAGGTATGTAGTGATTAAGATATTCAAATAAAAATTAAGTTGGGATAATTATATTCTAAAACTCAAAAAAAATTAACCAAATATAAATTCAAACATTTCTCAATACTGAATTAGTATTATTCTAGTGATCGAATTCCGTTTGTTTTTGTAATGTTTAATTTTATTAAATATCTTTTTAATATGAATTCATTGAAATGTAATTAAAAAATGTCCTGTACAAGTTTTTTCTTTTCTTCTGTAGAAAAAAATCTGTAAATAAAATTAGATGTTTCTGAATTTAAGGAATACTATTTTATATATTTTAGCCTCCTGATAAATTGTACTCAAAGATAGAAGTTGAAGTTAGGGGAAATGACCGTGCTGTTTTAAAGAGTTACGGAATATTTACTACTGCAGCAGCAGAACATTTAAATATTACTATGGGTAGAAAGTAAGTAACAATACTAAAACATATAGTTCGAATAATATAATTTAAAAAATTAAAAACTTTAATAAAAAAATTAACAGTGTTGCACCGTACAAAGCTATTCATGAAAGGCTAACAGTACTAAAATCTGTTCATGTTCACAAAAAACATCGTGTCCAGTATGAAAGGAGGACATATTATAGATATCTTGATTTTTTTAATCTGACTGGTTCAACAGCAGATACTTTTCTAGAGTATATACAAAGGAATCTTCCGGAAGGAGTGGCAATGAAAGTTACAAAGGTACGATTATATCTGGTTTTTTTTAGTATATGTAAAATGCGGATAAATATATTTATTATAGGTGGAAAGAAGAACTATGCCGGACTCAATTAAAACAAGCGAACTCTACAAAACGGAATAGGACATTTTTTACTATTATCTTTATTTTAGCAAATAAATAAATGAATTGAGTAAAATTATTGCAATTCAGTTTTTTTTCGCTAATGCTGTTAATAAGCGTAAGAGTAATCGGAAATGCTTTATTGGGCGTTTAGAACATTACATTTTGTTCTTTTACACTACCATGTATGAATAATGATATTAGTTTTACCGTTTCGATCCCATCATTTTACATTACAATTCATAATTAAGTTCGGGGATCAAGAACCTGCGGTATTTTCGTACATTTTTTGTTTATAAATTATATATTTTCAAACGGCGCGTATTTTATTATTTGTTACCATATGGTTATCCGCAGGGCGGCCATTGTAAAATTATCACGGTGGCTGTTGGAGAGTAGCGTCCCCACGTACCCGAAACGCTGGCGTAAACCAGTTGCATGGATTGCAAGATTACGTAAGTGAAAATGTTGATGGTGACACAAAGGTCCTAGCATGGCTCAATTCAGACGTTCATTAACATTTATATACGTCTACGAATAATCCCTTCCGCACGCCATAACAGAGAGAACAAGATTTGTTCACAAAAGTATAACTGCGAGTCAAACTGTTAACAAATGAAACTTCTACTTTGGATTCACATTTACGGAATAATACTACAAGAAATGAAAGATACAAATCTGGAGAATACCTCAGAAACTAGTAAACGTGAGTGTGAGTTGATATTGTAACTACATACCAAAGGAAAATCTTATCAAGGAATTGTGGAACATGTAAATAAAAGCAAGTCGATCACAGAATTTAAATGTGAGTTGATAATGTAACTACATACCAAAGGAAAATCTTATCAAGGAATTGTGGAACATGTAAATAAAAGCAAGTCGATCACAGAATTTAAATTAAAAAATACGGAACATCACGAATAATGTTCCTACCAGACTATGAACAAAATTAACTTTCAGAGAAGAAAAGAACAGTTAAAAACTGGAGAATCGTAACACTATTCAGACCGGAGGTCAATGGCAAGGATCGAGCAACAATACCTGATTCCTGATTCGTACGCGTACAATACAAACAAAACACACTACTGTCGAGGGACAACTCTAAGGTAGATCCACTAATCACAAGACAAACAAGAGTAATAACAGCGCTCGGATCGTCTAGAAGGAAGTGGGATTAGCGTTCCGATGAAGAAGAAGAAGGGGCACGAGAAAAAAATACGTACCAGATGAAAAGCAGAATTGAGCATTTCTTCTGTGAATGAGAGATGGATCTAGATGTGGGGGAATAAGAAGTGTTCCGAATCAGTCGGACCTAGACATTATATAGAAAGAGATTGCTCAGGAGGCGGCCTACAATTAATGATGATTCCAGTGCCGAAAGACTGCCATATGACCAAACGCTTGACCAAAACTGATACTTTTACAGAATGAGATTAGGCGACATACGTGTCGTTCCTACGGGGTTCCGGTGTCCCCATACGGGGGCAACTATGCGACACACGTTAATATATTTGAATAAGCAGTGGATTGTAAGCAACTTTTTAATCAGTTTTACTTTTGTACAATTTTTCATATTTATTTGTTACGATGAACTTTCGAAAATATGCCATTCCTATATCGATATGTCTTTTTCAAAATGACCACACGCGAATATAGTCAATTTCGAAAGCTGTCATTCTACCATTTCTTCTTCTCCATGTTGGTAACCACTGGTCCTTTGCATTCCAAAATTTTAACATTGCCTGAAATATACATTATCGATTAATTATGATATACAGGATATATAAAAACGATGGAAGATGCTTAAGTAGTTTCAGCAAATGAAGTTTCCAGACGTCGATTCTTTTTTCCTACACGTTTTTACGGGCTATTATATATTTATTTTTTATTCAACTTGCCCCAAGTCTTACGAGATCGAAGAATAGTAATAATTTTACCTTAGCTCCAACGTTCTTCCATGGCTTTGCATTGCCTGAATTAATTGTATTATCAGGAAAAACGCGTATACCACCGACTCCGAGGCCAATAGTAATGTGAAACTATTAAAAAAAGCGAATTTAAAAAGTATACAATTATGTGTAGTGCATGTGACATACGATGTTAATTGTACCTCTTGATCGAAAGGTGCTATTTTGTCGAAAGTAGTATTATTCAACCATCCGTTCGTTTCAGGATTCAGTTTACCAACTTCTTCATCATCAACCATAAACTGAAATCCATCACTGTTCCAAATCGTTGTGTAAACATGAAAATCTTTCGTCCACCTTGGACCGTTTTCTTTCAATTTGGAAACCATATAGTCGTCAACATGTGTAGTTGTACCAAGTCTAAATCCAAAGTCTAATTTTCTCGAGTCGAATATGGTTCTGTTGGTGGAATCAATTAAATTATCATTTCCACGAGCAAGGCCAAGGATTACACGTCCGCTGGAATAGCCTGCACCGTAATTGTCGTATTTTGGTTCCAGCCATATTTCTGTTAAAATTAAATTTATGTAAAAAATAATATCCCTGGCAACATATTTCGATTTTTACAAAATCGTTGAGATGGTCCATTTTCTAAATAATTAGCGTGTTTGATATATTATAGGGCATGTTTTACAAAAAATGGTTTCTTTTATAGAATGAACTGTATCTAAAGTACCGACGAAGATGTGAATGCTTAGTTTTTATTAGTGTTGTCTGTTAAGTGACTATCCTCTTGGTGCTCTCATGCAATATTTAATCGAGATTGTAATGTAAAATTTAATCGCTACTCACCTGGATATAACCAATCACCTTCTGGAAATTTTGCTCTTATTTCAATTTTACCGTATCGAAAATGAAAACTATCCTTTGTGGTAAATCTGGCAGATATAACGGGCGGCAGAATGTTGAAGGCCGCGGCGTTTCGTGAACATTCCGACGGAAAATTACTGGTACATCTATGAGATATAGAACAATTTCGAATTGTTGAATCAAAACAAACGGTACACGAATACGCAGTTGATTAAGTATTTCTTTTCAAACGATTAAGTAATTTTGAAAATACACACAACTATATTTACCCACTAAGTTGCATTCTACCAAATGCAGTTACACCTTCGCCATATAAATCTTCTAAAACCATTGGTTTGATACGAAGTTTTCCATTTGCAATTTGTACTAAAGGTTGATGATGCTCATTGTGGTACACACAAAATTCGTAATCCTATGATATTAATAATTTGTCATGAAGCATAGAGAATTGGTGACGAAGAATTCAACATTTAGGCTTTGATTTTTTGTTGAACTCGAAACGCTGAATGGAAGGGATTTGGAACGATGAATCGTGAAAAGTTAATCGTGCATTACTGTACGTATTTTGTTAATTTTGATGAATGTTACATGTCTCCAAAGTTTGTCCATTAATTTGTAATAATCTGTTGTTGCATGATTTTTTGCATTGTTATAATACGAAATGAATGAGAATGTTCTTGTTTTCTTATTCTGTAACTTACAGGGCCCAAAGGTATTTTGATAATGCGCGTCCAAGTTAATTGGTTCAAAGAATCGAAAGTTTCATTTAACAGCAATTTACTAAGGGAACTTCTGGGCTGTACTGTAGTTGTGTTTTGAGTTCCGTCTGTCTGAACTATAATTAGAGGGTACAAATTTTTATATTTTTCATTGATATGTTCTTTATTTTGCTTATTATCTATATAGTTTATATTTCTGATTATCTCAAATATACAGGGTGTTGGGCCACCTATGGGAAAAATTTTAATGGGAGATTCTAGAGGCCAAAATAAGACGAAAATCAAGAATACCAATTTGTTGATGGAGGCTTGGTTAAAAATTTATTAACGTGTAAAGTTCCGCCCGTACTGAATTTTTTTCTAACAAGTGGGTAGGATTTCGAGGCTAGGTCTATTCACCAAAAATGATTGTAATTGACACCTGTAATTAAATATAATTTTTTTAGTATGATTTGAAATTTTTGAATTTCTTCTAAAAATTTCAGTACCTATTCGAATTTCTTTTTCGAAAGTGGGTAGGATTTCAGGATTATAATTGAGCCCCGAAACCAAAAATAATTTTTTCAGAATGATTTGAAATCTTTTAATTTAATTTTGTAATAACTTTGTAATGAAGCCTCAGTCAAGAAATTGATATTATTTTGGCCTCTAGAATCTTCCATTGAAATTTTTCCCAGGGGTGGCCGAACACAGTCTGTATTAATCTTGATTTTTCGATTTCAAGAAAGTCATTAATGACATGTGGCTTCTCCGAGAATCGACTACGAACGATTAAAAAGGGAGAACACACGTGGGAGGGGCTTTTGTACTAGAGAACACTAATGTTTCTTTTATATTTTTCTATGAAAAGAATAAAAGTTACAATTATATACCACGCACAAGTAACTGTCCATGTTAGATCTTTTCTGGTGTATGCTGTACCATTTATTTGTGCATAAATCCAGTAATACATGATTTCTCCATTCTTTAAATTTAAATGTTGCTTTTCAAAATACCATTTTCCATTTTTCTCTTTGTATACGTCACCCGATATTTCTCCCACTTGATTGGGTGTAATTCTTTTATTTAAATTTCCATGAAATGAAAAAAACTGTAGTCCTTCTTCGTCTGTTGATATAAGAAGTACAATATTCACATTATATCAAGAATTTTGTTATGGTAAAGATAAATAAATTTTGTAACAAAAATTTAGAAAATACGACGCAAAGCGAAAAAGACTTTTGTAAACTTGGCTAAAATATCCGTCGATATACACTGTACGATTTTCACTGTAAGTATACCAGGTATACCTTGTCTGTGGTACTACATTACCAATACTTGATATTTTTGTTCTTTTCGCATGAATCACGCATTGTGTTATTCATCAGGAAAACACGACTAACGGGAATTTATTAACTCCTGGGAATTACTACTAAGATGCACGCATTTATCTATCGTAACGTTCATGACATATATTAACAATTAAATTAATTTACGCATTAATAATTACGGATAAAACATGGAATATTTTATGTAAAATAATATTAGTTGTAGGTTATTCTATTTTGTATACATATACAATTAATATTATTTACTTACTTGGTATCGATATTCGAATTCCATTCGGTTTTAGAACTTCGAACGTTGGTTCAGGCAAAACGTAAGAATTCACGTCTGTAATAAAACCTACAAACTTTAAAACAAATACGATGAAAATTGGAATAGAATCATCGTAGCCGAACATATTCCTTAAAATTCACAATTTAATTCATACGACGAAAGTTATCTGTGACGAAACGTAAAGCTGTTAAAAAAGAGTGCGAAAAATAATCGACTTGCACTGTGAACTACCGACGCTGCACTGACCTGAGTATACGATTCTGATAACTTCTGCAACATTTTAAACCAGTCTTTGCATTCGTCATATCATTTTGTTCGAGGGAAGTCCCCAGGCCAACGAGAAAAAATGTACAAGAATGTTATATCCTAATCCGTCAGACATAACTAGCATGCGAGTAGAACATTGGTTTGTCCACTTATTTTCGAAAGATATTCAAATCTAATAACTTATTTTAAGTCTTAATATACTAGAAACAATTATAATATTTTTAAAACCGACAAGATGCATTGTGTTCAATACTTTGCATCGTCAGAGCTTTCCTCTTTTTCGTTACTTTTTAATCATACGTAAGGAATGTCCAATGAGAAAAATGTAGGAACTTTATCAAAAATATTTGCTTTTATCGTAAAAAGAAGAAAGAAATCAGCATAAAATTCGTAAAGAACGATAGAGAAAGGAAATTCACATTTCGCGGGGATTAGATGAATTAAAGATCGATTCTTGACTAAAAGTCAGACATGCAAGAATCGATTTTTTAGAAATCGATTCAATATCGATCATCCCTAGCTAATAATCGAATTACTCTATTATCGCTAATATCAGCTGATGCATGTTGATGTTATAATTTCGTCGTAAATCTGGGCCGTGTAAATGATAGTCATATTTGATCATATAAAAATGATATGCCCTTCAAACAATTTTCTTTATATACAAACTAAAATTTGAAACTATTGTTTGCGCTGCAGTTTGTAAATAAATTCATGTACCTCCACGAAAAATATTTTATTCTATCTCCTACAATATCGCATTTGTATGCACTTATTAACAAAGACCAATAAATATGGAATATTCGGTAATTATTTAGAAAAGGTAGGGTCTCACCGATTTCGATGATTTTTGAATATGTTGTAGAAATCACCATTTGGAACAGCTTTTTCCTATACATACATATAACCGCCGCTCGACCTTAGTTTCCGAGATTTTTCTTCAAAAAGATCGCTGCTACTGCAATGAATTCTATCTATACGTGCGTGCCTGTGGCAGCGTGTGTGTAAACGTTGAATCGCCGATTGTTTATTATTACTATAGATACATCGAGGCGGCTGGCAATGGATGCGTATAACGGGTGTGCTTAAAAACTCGATTTGAGTAGCCGGCTGCCTAACGGCGGCCGGTATAAAAAGATCTAACCCAAACCTAACTATTCTACCTAGCAACTAATATAATGAATTAGGTCTGAGTTAGATTTTCTTATACCGGCCACCGTAAGGCGGTTGGCCATGCATTCATTTTCTATTTCAATTTTCTTTATTGATATTATCAGAAGTGGGAAAGATTTCAGCCATTATTTCGAAAAATTTCATTATTCGATCATTAAAATCATATTGTCGACGGAAGAAGAATTCAGCTAAATAGCCTACATAATGTATTTGACGAGTTCCATACTTTGAAATATTCGAACCTTTGACAGTAATGCGTTTAATAACGATACCAATGCAGAACTAGATTTAGCTTGATACATTGTACATTATTTGTCGTCGGTTGTCATGCCGATTAATACAAACAAGAGAAAAAATTGACGATCGTGCACTGACGCATACAGAGTCACAGACATGTACATATAGACAGAATTCATTGTAGAGTAGTAGCAATCTTTTTGAAGAAAAATCTCGAAAACTAAGACCGAGCGGCGGTTATATGTATAGGAAGAAGTTGTTCAAAATCTTGATTTCTACAACATATTCAAATATCATCAAAATCGGTGAGACCCCATCTTTTCTAAATAATTACCAAATATTCTGTTACATACAGTTGGTGACTATGTTTCACGCGCAGATTTTAATGGTTATATTCTGAACGCGGTTTGTTTGATCAATAAAGGATATATACAAAATTTGTACCATGTTACTGACAAAAAACATAACAAAGAATAGTAATCTCAGAATTCTATCGTGTGACTCTGTATCAAGTATTCTAAGCAGACATTTAACAAACGAAATTAACGTTCAATCTAGGCGAAATATTGTAGGTTATCTTATGCCTCATCGTGAAAAAATTTTAAGTAAAAATAATGATATGAACAAAATAAATCATAAATTAGTAATAAATTTTAGTTCAGACAGCGACAAAGGATATTCAGTTAATCAGTGAGTATTGTATTTATACAATATTTACTTCTAACTCTAAAACAAAGCATTTATTCATAATCTTTATATAACATTTCTTCTTCCTTTTAACGTCTGAATTAAGTTCATAAAAAAGATTGATTTTTCTTTTTGTTACAGAGAACTTACACCTGTACAATTTGAAAAAGTTACAGATGAAACCCTTGAATCTTTGACAGAATACTTTGATGAATTGATCGAGCAATCACCACATCTAACAGAAGCAGATGTATCATATGGAGTATGTCTTTCAATATTAATTTCATTATTGTGTTATGGTTATATCTTTCAGTATGTTATCATTAATAATTCTATTCATAATGTATTTTTGTAGGATGGTGTATTAACTGTTAAATTTGGTAAAGCATATGGTACTTATGTTATAAATCGTCAAACACCAAATAAACAAATTTGGCTTTCCTCTCCAAAGTCTGGTCCAAAACGATATGACTTTGTAAATGGTAGATGGATTTATAAATATGATGGAAAGACAATACATGAATTACTGAACAATGAAATACCAGCAATCACAATGAGTTCAACATGTTTTAATAAGTGTTCCTTTAGTGGCAAAGAGAAAGAAGCTGTAATAAAGAGTCTCTAATTTTATCAAACTTTTAAATTGTAATTTTAATTAGAGTGATCGATACACTGAACATATTTATGTGTACAATATTGAAAATATAAAATTTCAGTTAATGTATATAAATCGTAAAATAAAATAGGCAACATATTGTTATATATTTATGTGGGTATGTATAACTTTGTAAAATATAGACATATTTTAATATTTGCATGGTAGAGTGGCACTTATTCTAGAATTTTTCATTTTACTATGCCTTATAGATAAAGGCTTAGATAAGCAATTTATTTTTAGTTGTTCGTAGGATCTTCGTTGTTTTCGACAAATGGTTGAAATATCCGACTATGTATTTCTCGACGAGTCGAAATTAAATCCTTTATACCTTTAAAATACATGTACAATAATTAATGAATCCCAAAGTAGAGTTTTAGGAAGAATCTATTAATATTTATAGATTAAATGAACATTTCAAGTTCTTGAAAACAGACTTTCTAGTGTCCTATTCCTAGTTATAACGTAAAATTGTGGTTTGCTAGTTACCAACACGGCGACGTACGTGTTAGCACCTGCGCGATTCGCAGCATCGTGCATCAACTGCACAATATTTTCATGCACATCTCTCTTTATACATACATATATCACATGCACTTAGATTAATGCGACCAACCTTTTTTTCGTATGTACATATCATACACATCAAAGACAAACTTAATATATGCATTGTTGCCTAAGATTGAAGCACACAACTTGATGACCTTAGTTATTTCCGATATTAGTGGGCTGCTTCAAAATTTTTTGCCTACATTAATTTTTTCACTTTTCATAACTCGATATTAAATTTTATGTGACTCGAACAGCAGGTCGTTAATAGAATACCTATGTAAATTAATAATGCTCGATTTATTACACTGCTACACATTATTACTTGTAATTTTACATTAATAAATATTAAAAATCCCACTATTCTTTAAAGTATGTTATTGTATATTGAACAGATTGCAAGAATGGAGATTATGGAAGATGGCAATTTAGTAGATCGCGTTAGAATTTTATTGCAACGAGATATGCAATATTATCAGGTAACGTTATATGTAATTTAATGATATAATTTTGAGGATTAATTCCAATATTATACAATAAAATATATGATAATATCATCAGAGCATTGACCGAATTGTGAAGCAAGATGTTATTTTGCTATAGTTGCTCTCATAATCATGGATCGGAAATTTTTGTTTTAATTCGGCCATCGAGAATATCTTTCTTTTCCTCATCATTCGATTAAGCTTTTATAATTCAAAAAAGATGTAATATCAATTATTTTGTCAACCTTAGGTGCACGTATATCAAAGATTTTGAATGTCCATTGCATATTGCAAATAAGTTTTCGATTAAAAACTAGCATGCCCGTAGAGATGCTGAAAAAAATAGCTCGTCTTCCTATTATATGAGTATAATATTATTAGTCTGTTATCCTGTAATATTTTGTAATCTATTATGGCGATACAGGAAATGCAAACAGTGTTGAAGGAGCCATTGTGCGTACGTATATGTGGCGGAAAGCTCGATTTCCCAAGGCATGCTTCGTTTGCTGCTATTAAAATTGTGGCATGGTGGGAATTAGATTACCAAGCTGCTTTCAATCGCCATTCTGGCTTAACAAAATCGACCGTACACGGAACTGTTACGAGTGCCGATAGCGGGGACGGAGTAATTAAAAAAATTCAACCATCCGAATTCATATTACTCGTTGTCGATACCGCAGAAGATTTATTAGGTACAATAGATCATATCTATATTCAAAGTAAATTGAACTTGGAACTTTCGTAAACTTGTTTATCTTATTAATATTTTCTAATATTTAATCAAACTGTATCGCGTTACCGAATAATTTCAGAACATTTGCATCTGCTTATTCAAGAGTCATTAGATCATGCGGACTTAACGGTCTTAACAGCCACTTTGGGAGCAGCAGCGTTAATTCGAAATTGTTTATGGTGTTACTCTCAACAAACTAAAAATTTAATTTCCACACAGGCAAGGTATTCTAAACTTGTTAATGTTAGTCTTTCCTATTTCTTATAATATTATCGATCAGCGAAGTAAATTTTAATTAACATAAAATGCGTATAAATCTCTTTCGCTACGTTGTACGTATTTTCGATTACTTACAGCGAGAAAATAAACAAATCCTACAAATCTTACCATGAAATGGCTGAGGCTGTCGCGGAAAGGTTACTAGATTTACACTGTCGCTTAATTTCATTATACATACTCAATGAAGCCGATTCTCTTAGTTGGCACGACATCAAATCATTCTTCGAACGCGAACGGTGCTCCTTTGTGATACAAATGTGGTGGCTATACATGCAAGGTAATGTAATTAAACATTATGTGTAACAAATGTATTACCTCCGATTCGAGATACAGTAGTAATGCATTTAACGCAATTAAGATGTGATTCGCCTCCGCCATGCATAATACCTGAAAAACTTGGAAAAGAAGAAATGCTCTAATAAATTTGTGCACCTGCAAAACATTGGATCACATTAATATTAATTGTCATAAGGATAAGAAAATTTTCATTGTGTCTAATTAGTCTTATATTTTCAGCGACAAAGGCAGATTTATGGAACACCGTTTCTCCAAAAATGGCTCAACGAGTCTTCTCCGGAATGTTGAACGAGTCTTTGTCCATTATTGTGACGAGATTTATCCACGTAAGGGCGTTGAAAAATTTATACAGGGTGTTCGGCTACCACTGGGAAAAATTTTAATGAGGGATTCTAGAGGCCAAAATAAGACGAAAATCAAGAATACCAATTTGTTGATGGGGGCTTCGTTAAAAAATTATTAACAATTAAATTCAAACATTTCAAATCGTTCTGGAAAAATTACATTCGATTGCGGGGGTCAATTACAATCATTTTTTAGTGAATAGACATACCTCCGAAATCCTGCGCATTTTCGAGAGAAAAATTCAGCACGGGCGGAATTTTAAACATTAATAACTTTTTAGCGAAGCCTCCATCAACAAATTGGTATTCTTGATTTTCGTCTTATTTTGGCCTTTAGAATCTCCCATTAAAATTTTTCCCAGGGGTGGCCGAACACCCTGTATTATTTCATAGGGGCGGTCGAGGCAGTAACAATGTCCATTAATTAGAATATTAAATATGAACTGTCATAGGCTCGGCCGAGTTTAGCGCGATCTCAACAATTTTGGACAGACGCCTTCAACGTTCTTTGCTGCACTGGTTATCTTGCACTGAACGCTTTTGTTAGCGCCAGTGAGATGATCGGAGTAAAGTTAAACAAACTTCCCGTTGCTGTTAGGGACATCCATACAAAATGCAACGAGTTGTTGATTTGCTTGTTGTTGAGAGGCACGCCTGTCCAAGAATTATATCAGGTATAGAAATATTCGATAAATAAATCGAAACGGGTTCAGTATATGTACACATTTTAATTTTCGTGTGAAAAACTTGATCGAATAACGCGTTTACATTGAGCCTCGTTTCGTGTATTATTCACATTATAGGTTTTTCGTGGGGGATTGGATAATTTAATGATTTTGCAACCACGCCATGGACCCGCAGCCTGGCTGTTATTGTGCGCGCCAAATTTGTTAGGTTCGATCGACTCTGATGTTTACATTTTGAATTTGCCTGAGGATCGAGAAGTGATTTTAGAATTGAACATACTTACGCACCAACCACAACCGAACTGGCCTCAATTAATAAAGGTAACGATCCGTTCAAATATAAGAATTAATTCAAATAAATATTGTCGTTGTCATGAAATTAGCCAGTGAAATATTGAACACAATTATCAATTTTATATCTTTTACAAAGTAAACGTGATTTCTTTTTTTTACTATCTGTACAAAATTTAAAAAAAAACATAGTTGTGAATTATATTATCATTTCCACAAATTCAGTCACGTCAACCGATTGTTGATCATTCCAATCCACATTCGTTACAAAAAAAAAATTAGCGGTCCGGAAATTTTAAAATCCTGACAAATATATATTCGCAAAATTAAATCATTTGGATAAAAATTCTTGTAGGTGATTTCTTCTTTTTACTGTTATTTGTACAAGATTTAAAAAGAAAAACATAGTTGTGAATTATATTATCATTTCCACAAATTCAGTCACGTCAACCTATCGTTGATTATTCCATTCCACATTGCTTACAAAAAAAAATTTAGCGTTCCGGAAATTTTAATATACCTGGCGTATTCGTAAAATTAAATCGTATGGATACAAATTTTTCTAGGTGATCTCCATGAATGATTACGCAGTTGCCAAAATATTATTGAACACTTTAATCCGCGATTGCAACGATTTCACATCCGAAGATTACTTTGACGATTTAGAAAAATTAAGAATCAATGGAAAGAATTGCGGTGGTTTTCTATGCAACAATACGACATGCTATGGAACATTGAAAGTGACATCAGCCTTAAGTCTTTATAGTTTAGTGCACATTTTGACGTGTATAGCGCAGGAACCTGGCTGTGTTATTGTACCAGCTTTAAAGCAAAATCCCAATTGGTCTAATTACCTTGACCGACAACAGGTACTTAAAGTTTCGAAAATAGTAAACGAAATACAAATTTTTGAAACTGCTATACATATACCTCTATGCAGGTCTGGAATCAGTCAAGGCCACCATGGTTGAATGCAATTTTAAAACCATTAAACAATATGATGCAACCAATTATCGAAATACTTTTAGAAGCTGTAAAAGTAAGTAATCAGATATTCCTGACAACTAATTTTGGACCGTTTCTATTTTGTTTCCTCGATTGATTCTACTTCACTAAATGATGAAGAAAACATTTCTTCTGTGGAATGGAAACTGTCGTTTTTATAAACCCAGTAAAATAAATACGAGAATCATATGTCACAAAAACAGGAAAAACTGATTAGATATTGATAAACGTTAGTCTCTAAATAACTGTGCTTTAAACTTCTAGACAGGAGCCAGTATATATCAGACAATGTCGTTGGTAATTGGCTGTTTTACCAAATTATACGAGACTTTGCCCTCCGCGATTTTAAAAACCGCGTTTGTATTAAACGATAATCTCCCTGCTCATTGCCATCCAATCGGTGGCAACGTTCTTCTTCATATTCTTTGTGCATCTCTTTATACCGCTCTTCTGAAGTTTTCGAAGCATTGCAAACCGGAGGTGCAAAATAGTCCAGCTGTTAAACGAACTAATAACGAACTAAACTTCTTCGATTCTAACGATACGCCAGCAATAGTAATCGCTTTGGCCGAAGCTATCTGTAGTATCGACGAGGACAATAAGCACACCTCTCAAATTGACGATTTTTTCCAACTGGTGAAAGCGGAGTAAATATTTTTTACGTTTTTTCAAATTCCTTCAAATTAATTTTCATGGATGTATTAGCTTAAAGAGTTAAGTATTTTAGCATTCAAACGACGGATACGAAACCAAGCATTGATGAATTAACGCACATGTCTTCCTTTATCGAAACGTGTACCGATGAATTGTTGTTTACCGAATCTGGACGACAAGCTTTGAAAGTACGTGATAAAAAATACCTTTTTTAAGCTTGCAAATTTTCTTTCGCAATTTTTACGTTTCAGGTAACGCATGAATTTTTAATTCGTGCATCCGACTTAGTGTTGAATAATTTACGACGTACCGACGCTCGAGAACATTTAATCGATGTGCCCGAGTTTTGCCCTCTTAATAAACCATTAACTTATACAATGTTCCATATCGAAGATACCACGTTTGACCAGGCGAGAAAACACTATTTTATTTCGAGGACCTTTTTAGATATAAAATAATTAACAACGTTATTTTTTTTATAGTTCCTCGTTCAATATGAAAAGACAAATTGGAGGAAAGCTTTAACGATGCCGTATTCCATCACGGTGGAACGCGTACGAAGCCAAATTTTATTACGACCGGAGTTTAAAAACGTCGGCGAATTGACACACGAGGACAGAGAAGCAACGAATTCGATTAAAAAGCTTTGCTCTTCGGTAAAAACAACGTGTACAAAATAGCATTTGTTCTACAATTATTTTTACAGTACACTGCGATATACAGTAAGTGGAATAAAATTATAAGCGAGCAATTAGTTTTTATTTTTATATAGGTTGGCAGGATCTAAAAGGGGTGACACAATATAATTTATTAACATTGACTCTACCGCCAATGTGAATAAAACTATTATTAAAATATAGTGTTTTCTTGTGCCTACGTAATTCAAATTCTTTGAATTGGAGGTGTGCTTAGTAACTTTAAAATTTTAACAATATACTAATTCTACTAATATTATTTTAGAGATTAATTTGAGTGTATTTGAATGGTTACGATACACCTAACAAGGAAATATTTAATATGTTAAAAATATTGACTTGTAAAACGATTAATAAACAATTACAATTAAATATGAGACTTCTGGATATTAGGTGGGACATACAGTCGCCATTGCACACGATCCCTGGCGAGACGGAAAGTATGGTCTTATTGTTAGTCCCCCTTGGTAGAGCAAGTTATACGGGGGATTATAGCCTCTTGTCCCCCTCCTCTACCCCCAGACCAAGCTAGATCCTTCTTGTCACATGCGCAGAAGGAGACTGAATGTTATTCCGATAGCGCAGTGTAACCAGATGAGACGCATTTTTCAATCATGCGCACTAGAAGACAGCAGAGAGGCTCAGTGCCTGAGCTTGGTCTACATCAGGAATAGGGAATTTCGTTTCCGTCTGAAACCATAGAAGTTTTATGCTAGCCTGTCGGTTCTCCCACCATTAGATAGTCGGTCCCCACTACCATTCAATGTATAGGATGATTCTCTCGCCAGAGCCCCGAAAAGTTATCGTATCAAAAAGAAAAAGATTTTCTGTGTTAATACATAAAGAATAATACAACGAATAAAATTAATTTTTTCATCTTTACAATTAATACTTTCCTAGAAACATTATGTCGATGTTAACCAACCGTTACATTTATAATTAGAATTTAAGAAAGCATGAAATATAAGTTATTGCTACGAAAATCGCTGTAAATTTCGGATCACTTTCTTTAAAACATTTTTAGAAATTAATCCATGCGTTCCGAATTTAGCTCGATAAATTAATTACGACGTGCAGTTTTGGATCCCTCGAACGCTTCACTTTTACTTCGATATTTTTTATAATACGATTTATTTAATTGAATGCACCCGTCGATGTTGTATTAATGTATAAAAGCAATAAGACTATTTCCGTTCGAGTAAATCAAAGTTGATCAAAGGGTTTAATTTGACATGCGAAATTTACAAACGATCTCACGTGCGGCAATAGTAATTTATCGGTTTGACCACTCTTGCGCGAATAATTAATGCGCGTTATGAAACACCCCGTCTGCCGCCAGTGCAGTATCTGACATACCGAAGGTTTGCATACAGTGGTGTACCACGAGGTTTCCCAATCCTACGAATTGTTTAAACGACTTCGTTGAACCCTCGAAAGTTTCAAACAACATTCCTTTCGTGGCATCAATCCGCGCCATATTTCATATCGAAGAAAATGGACAAAGCATTGTCAACGAAAGCGTATCTTCTCCCAAAGTGTATCTCTTTTACAAATCACGTGCCAATTATATTACTTTAAATTTTTGACTCTGAAAAATATTTTCAAAATAATTATTTTACAAATTCATTCCATAACTATAAAAAAAAAATTCTAGCAAAATATACAGAATTGTTTTCATCATAAATTTGTCAAAACCGCCATTTTCGAACGATTACACTCTGACCAAGAAATTTCGATACAGAAGATCATTGATCGTCTTCGTAGAAACTTTATATCGACTTTCTTTACAAACATTTTCTTATCGAAGTGTATGTGATCCCAATATATACAAATATAATTATGCATATAATTATTGAACATTTCAGTAAGAATATTAAAGTATTTAATTGCTCTTTTTATGTAAATACACATACGGCGCGCATACACGTATTAAATTTAAATAAAGCGCTAACAATTTTCGACAGACGCTCGCAAGGGTATTTAGAATTGTTTAATTCGAACGAAATGTTATTATAAGATCATTGCCGCGCCTTTACCACATACGGCCGTGGAAGATACATCGCGCGCGCGCACATTCGCGTGTCCTCGATGAGCTCGAAGTTACATATATAAACGATGCGTGCACGCTGTACGATGACTAAAACAGAATCCGCTGTTGTCAGTATAGTTCAGTGTGTTTGTTTTTTTTTTTTATTCATGATTCAATAGCGGCTGCTTGAAATTTGCGGAAGAACGTAGCATACGCATGTGGTCGAGATGAATGTCACGCACGTTGATATTTTCGGCGAGCTGAAACACGCGGGGAAATTATGGTACCTCGTAAATCCATACGAAACGATGTTTGAATTTCCGTACGACGTTCCTGATTATCAGCAACAGGTAGCTAATATTTATATTTTATTTTTATTCCTCGATGCACCGAATTAACTGTTTTTCCACGATAATTATTGTTAGTTCGAACGACGATAATGTCTTTGAACTTTGTACGCGTATTAAAATCTGTAATAAAATGTGCTTATCGTAGAAAATGCGATAGCGTTGGTATTAGGATACAATTTTTATGTATCGAAGTCGTAATATTTATGGATTAAGTTTGAAGTTTTCGTTTTCGTGCTCCGGTTTCGATGTTCTAAATTCGAGTGAACGTATACGGGGTATTGGTATTAGAACGAATCCATCGTGTTATTTGTGTGGTAAACAAGCGTGCTCAGAGTTTTACACGTGGCATACAAATACATTCGCAGACTTTCTAAATACAGTGCATTATCTTCTGCATTCCGATGTGTCGTATCTCTGACAGGTAATTAACAGATAATACCTCGAACGTACGACGCGAATTTACATCGCGAATTTATGCTTTACATGGACGAAAGTTACTTCCGTATTGTCGTGTCCATTTATATTATCGTCAAGTATTTCCTGATCGTTTCGTTCGATCTGTGAAATTTTAATGCTATGCTTGAATTTAAAATAATAAATTACAGTCATAAAAATAAGATAAACGTTTACGCAGGTATGGTTTCCGTTCTTCGTCCTCATAATACTGGAGCAAATTATATTGACGAGAAAGAAACAGAGCTTTCGTTTCAACGATCAAGTGACGTCTTTGTCTCATTGGATATTTCAAGAAACTGGCCGGTAAGCATAGGTAACGCTTTATTTTTCAGCTTTTATTACCATTTTGTACTTGAATTATATCTGCAATCATTGTTCGTCAAAAATTTGTTGCTTAATCTGTCTGTAAACAAACGATAAGGAGTTTATTTCGTTACTGTACGTGTTATGCAAGTTTTACTTTCCTTCGAAATTGTTTCGTATTTGTTATCCTACGGTACACAGAGTATTTGGCACTCCATGTTTTCTTATCTTTCGTCAATGGTAATTGAACATAGAGAATTTTTCTTTTTGTTTGGTTCAATTTTTTCCCGAGTTTTCGAGAGAAAAATGTTACTTAAATAGTAAATTCCTAAATTATTTTCATAAAACGTACGAATCACCTATTTGGCAATTTAACGATCTCTGCACGCAATAATTGTTCCAGTATAAATTGCAAAAAAATATGATCGATGCGAATATTATCGTACAGTTATCTGTAAAAAATTGTATCTAATAACAGAGTGAAAATTAGGACATCCAGTTTGTTAAGAAATATTGCACGGTCTCACAGCGACCGCTCTATCTACGCAAGATAGGGATAATATTCTTAACGGTGTGTATTAAATTGTGTACACGAATGCTCGATGCCCCGGTTAATGGTACCAAATCTATTTGCGCGCTGTTGTTTTCAATGAGTATTTTTAGCCACGGTGTTAACCCTCGTATTTTTATTGGTACACGATAAAAACGAATGTAAGAATACAAAGACTCTTATATTACTGCGTTAAGATATCACACACGTTACTAAAAATTTTTGCAAAATATTAGTATCCAGTTATACAACTCTAAATGTTTGAATTCTCTACTGTTTCCATATCAACGATAATAGTTTAATATTAATTTTTATACGAAATTTTTCAGTATCTTCTTCCGCGGCGCTGAATATTATGCATACATCGTAATTTACGAGAAATATCATTGGTGGAATCTGCCCTGGAACTCAGCGTGGACTTGGTATATCACTGCTGTCGGGGTGGATTTTTGTTACTATTGGGTTCACCGCAGTAACCACGGTTAAATTCCTATCCAACCATGTGTGTCATTGTCGTCCCTCTACTTGACGAATTTATAGTGTTTCTCGCCCGTTTGCAGAGGTACACTTTTTATGGGCTCACCACCAAGTACATCATAGTAGCGAGGAGTTCACTCTCGCGGTTGGTCTGCGGCAATCCATTCTGCAACACTGGTGTAACTTCGTGAGTATCGCTTCTATTACATATGCAGGGCTTTGCGGTTGTCTCAAGCCACAAGTGGATACGGGTACAATCGAATGCTCTATTCTAGACCTGCAAATTACGTTTTCTCGATTAATAAATACGCGAGACTTTACTTTGCGTCGTTTGTAAGTCGTACATCTTAAATTACATTTTTAATTACCTGTCCAAGGCCAATTTTAAATTTGTTACACTAGAAAATGAAAAAAAAAATTAATCGTTGACAAAGTACTTATCTATTTGATAAAGTTTTACAACATTCGTATCCATATTATGTTTATTAAATTCAAGGGTGAAAATTAAAATTTAGAACCTGCACGAACTGTTTTTAAATCGAATCATTTTAAATTTGTTCCATTAGAAAATGAAAAATATTAATCGTTGGCAAAGTATTTTTCTATTCAATTATCGTTTGATAAAGTTTTATAACATTCGTATTCATATTTATTAAATTGCCGGGTGAGAATTAAAATTTAGAACCTGCATAAACTGTCTTTAAACCCATAAAGAGTCATCTACTTCCGTTAAACCATTTTTGTATCCAAATACGAAGAACACAGTACCCTTTTAAAACACTTTTCGCGCCTGACAATGAATCGCCGAGGCTATACGAAAGATACAATATCTGTTTGCAGATGTTTTATTTGCCACTCGCCTTATTCATATCCCCCTCGCATTTCATTGCGCACAATCAATTCAATTTAATTTACCAATTATGGATCCACACGACCGTTATCGACGATCTTGGACCGTTGGAATTAATATTTAATACTCCGAAACATCATCGTGTGCATCACGGTGAGCTGTTTGGATTATTACTTTTCGAATATGCCGGATTCAATTATTCCCGACGAATGATTTATCACGAATTTCCCGCAGGTTGCAATCTCTATTGCCTGGATAAGAATTATGGCGGCGTTCTTATCATATGGGACAAGTTATTTGGAACGTTCATGGAGGAGGAGAAGAATAGTAAAATAATTTACGGTCTGGTCGTCAGTCCTCAATCTTTCAATCCGTTGTATTTACAGGTAAGAAACACGAGCGTAACTATGCTTTATAGGCCATACATGTGTTTCTGCCTAAGAACCGATGAAGGGAATTATCGGTCTGTTATATAACGTTACAATTAGTTATATAAACACGTACTCAATTGACACAACGTCCAAAGGGGCTGTAATAAGCACTCGTTTCGACACGGAATATTTAGTTCACTCGTCGAATAACATAGTAATTAGAATAACACGTAAACATGAACATCTTAAAATTATTTTTTAAACTTGTTATCGACCGATAAAAGAATATTTAAATTATAAACGTTGAATTTATTTATTAAAACTTTTTTTTTGCTTTTCAAATTTATTTCCGTCTGTTACAGATATTTTATGTTTACCAATTGATTCGAAAGAGTTTACAGATGTCCTCCATAACAGACAAATGGGCTGTTTTTTGGAAAGGCCCAAGTTGGTTTCCAGGCGCCCCTCGTTTGGGCCTCGACGACTACAAAATAAACGTACGTATTTTGTTTCGTACACTTTTACTTTACTATCGCGGCATTAGATTTCCGTTATAACAGGCATGATCTTGAGCTAATAGTTAAAAATGTATTACTTTCTCTTTCGCTTCTCGCTATGCTTTAACGTTGTTTGCAATAATTTTACTAACAGCGATATAAAGCGAACGAAATAATGAACTAGCTTTATCACCGTTGAATCAAAATTGATCGTTTGCACCATTCTGATCTATCGTTACACAATACCATGAAACTAGTTGTGTACTGTTGAGAATATCAATGAACTTATACAATTGCTATTTAGCAGTTAATGCAAATACGACATAAATACTAGTTTTGTGCCATAGGAAGACGGTGTAAACCGGTTTCATTTTACAAAGGAGCTTCACTGTACCAAGCACACACTAGCAGCCATAACATAAATATACAGCATATAATATAACACGTGAAAACCTGAGACGGGCGCATTTTTATCACCTTTTATCTGGATAAACTTTTTATTCCTGAAAGACAATGTAAATAACGAATAACTATTATCCAGATAATTTATTTACCTAAACCATATTTGTTTACGTAATTAACTAGATACAGACTTATTCAAAATTCTTAGAACAATGCCCACCTCTGGTGAAAATCTTCAGGGATGGTTTCAACGCTTAAAACCAATAAAATAAAGTTATATTTTTTTAAATATTTTGCTATGGATGCATTTACATTGTTTCATTTAACAATCCCTTTGTTGAATTCATCCCTGAAGTGATCCAATGAATTATCTTGTATTCTATATTTGTTTACGTTTATATTTATGACAGTATCAGCATTATGTTTCACTGCTTTTTTCAGGTCACACACAGGATTAAGTACGATAACTGTGTGTCTGTATGGCATATCGTTTACATAACTGTACACTTCTGCCTAGTTTTCTACAATCACCTTCAATTATATGATGAAACACAAGTAAGGATTACAATAACACAGTCTTTTAACGATTCAGTTTGTTTTATCATTGCAATGTCTTTAGCTATCGTTTTTACAAACAGGAATTTAGAAATTTCTCTTTTGTAGGATTTAAAGACTGTATCTTCTGGATTCGTAATTATTAATAATATGTTTGCTCTTACCACGATCGGATTGTTATTCGACAAATCGAAGTACGCCGGTGCCGCAGAATTTATTCGTTGCTTGATTTATTTAAGTTTCTCAATGGTATACAATTCGATAAATATATGCACGTATTATGTATATATCGCATCTTGTTGCGTTTGGATTATATATTTTCTTTGTAAAGTTAAATGTTAGAAACGGAAAGGTGTCGTAGAAAAACAGATATAATTGTTTGTTAGCTGATGTAGTTTTCCAAGCATGCTGTGTGCCGCTGCGTTTCGATTTTATATTTTCCTTGCAAAGTAAAATCGAAAATCGAACGTTATACGTATGAAACTGTGTTAAAAAAAAGCTGATTTCATTTTATAATACTTGTAGGAATGATCCTATAAACTATACGTTATTATACAATGAATCATAAATTATTTAATAACATTACATATTTGCTACAATTGATCAGTATTAAAAAAACAAAGCACAAATGTCAAATTATTTATTAATCCGCATACACAACATATATTTTTCATTGTAAAAGACAGATGTACTTAGTTCATTGAATAAAAACACAGTTACGGAATTGCACGTCTACTGCTTCCTGGAGTTGTTCTCATGGATCGAGCCATGGATCTATGACGCGTGATTGACGATTATTCAACAGCTAATAAATAACATTCACATTTTTTTCACTTTTTTTCTGACAAACTCAAAGACAAGAGAAGCTAAGAATAATCAATTAACAAGTTGATTATGTGGCCACGTAAATGAACTTTAATATTAGTCATTGACTTTAGGAATTTTACAAAGTAACATATTTCTACTTGTTACGTTATTAAAATGTCTAGGAAAACTCTAAATGAGGAAAACTGGTATATTAACTTTCATTTTGTAGCATTTAAGGAACACGAACTATAATATTCCTCTAACCTATGCTACATTATTAGTTTTTTAAATTTAAATTAAAAAGGAAATTAAATTATGTTGTATAAATGATGTAGTACTTAAGAGTATCTAATAATATCGCAGCTATCTTTACTAATTTGAGTGAAAAATTATCATAACATAAGATAGAGTTAGTTTCGTTAAGCAAGATCTCAAAATATTTCAAAGATATTAGGAATACTATTACAAAACATTATAATGCACTTTATTTGAGATAATATTCAAATAAATTTTGAGACCAGTGACGAAATGTTTTTCTGATTGTCTTTGAAATAGGATACTAGCGGGTTAAACACGAGTATTCACGCCAGAGAAGACGCTTCGCTCATGCTACATTCCATTGAGTTAGCGCAATCTATCAAGATAATCTTTTCACGTCCTTGAGCGTGAGTACCGCATATCGTAACGACACTATACCGAGTTTCTCACCCCGTCTCACTTTCAAATTATATTTTTTCCTTTGTTTCATTGTTATCTCTTCTAATTTATAATTTAGCGCTGGCCAAGTTGAACTGTACCAATCTGTGCGCCCATGGAGGAAAGTCCCGTGCGAGTAGTGATAGCTTCCACGCATGTGCGTGGCGGTAGTTTTCACGCATGCGCTTCGAATTCGTGCCGTGACAAACAATGGCGTGTAGGGTATTTCTCGCAACTGGAAACAACTGTATTTCTAAAACGGTTAGAAATACAAAAAAATGTCACATGGCGAAATCAAACGACATCGAATGATGCACAAACTGAATGTAATTTTATTTATTTTTATACATGGATGTGTCTAAAAATTGCAACAGCATTCTTTTTTTAAGTGGATCTATATAAGTGTGATTGCACCATTCGATGCAGATTTTAAAACGTTCTTACCTGCAATAGTACTCTTCCTTGGTAATATAGAAAGGGCTGATGATTTTGGGTTATTCCCGAGGGGAAAATTGCTTATGATCTTCGGATCATGGTGATACACAGTAGAGTTGAGTAGAATTCCGATTATCACGCAAACCGGTTATCCGGAATGTCGGAATAACCGGCATATTTACCCCGACTATTCTTGGATAAATTTTACGAATTATATTTCACGCAAACAATGAAGTCACAGCCGCATGCATCAAGCAGTGTCGTCTATGCTAAGCAGTTGACGAATAAGGCGTAGAAATTTTACATATTTTATTTTTTATTAACAAATTGTATTACTCCATTACCCGTGGTTGTGTTTATTAGAAATGAAAAACGCTTTCTTAAAAAAAATCTACAGTAGGTAGGTGCCTAAATTTTTCGGTGAGAAAAAGAATTTCAAATCGTACTGGAAAAATATTTTTGGCTGCGGGGGTCAATTACAATCATTTTTGGTGAATACATATACTCCCGAAATTCTACGCAGTTACGAGAAAAAAATTCAGGTAGTGAACAAATTTTTGACGAAATTAAAAACTTTCAAAATCATTGTGGAAAAATTATTTCTGGCTGCAAGCGTCAATTGCAATCCTTTTTAATGAATATACATACCCGCGAAATCCTAATTCTAGGCCATAAGTGTCGCTCCGAAATTTTATGCTAGCTAGATAGTAAGGAGTGAGCTAGCTAGATAACAACGAAGTGAGGTAGCTAAAAAGCAAGGAATGAGGTAGCTCGCTAGAAAGGAGTGAGCAAGCTAGCTAGCAAGGAGTGGGCTGGCTAGCTAGCAAGGCGTGAGCCAGCTCGCCCCCCGGCACCGAGGGTCTTGACCCCCGGCTGCTGGAGGACGTGGTCAATACTCTTTTCCCAATTGGGGAGGGGGGACAGTCCCAATGGAGTGGGCGGGCGAGCTGGCGGTCACGCACGAGGAACTTGCCGTGGCTATCAGACGGCTTTTGCCGTGGGGAAAATCTTCGAAAGACTCGTGTGGGATTCCCCGCGCCTATTGTAACGGGCGCGGGACCTACCCACTAAAAAACCCCACGGTGACCCTTCCGCACGATTTGGGAGGATACCGGGAATCGCTCGAAGCATACTTCCGGTATCCTCCCCGTGCCCGCGCTTTGCGCCCACCCGCGGGGGGACAAACGGTCCCCCCGGTAATCGCCCTGTCTCATAGCGGCAGGACGAGGCCACATCGTCCTGCCGCCATCCGTCCCGGGGCCGCGTCTAGTGGCGGCTGCGAGCCCCAACTCGCAACCGCCGCGACCCCTTTTCTACCCCTCGGAGGCCGGCAGCTCATGGCCGCACCAGGCCACCGAGGGTGCCGCTCCGTGCGCCGGACCCGGACAGGAGGCACTGCCACCCCATCCGGTCCGACCCTACGCCGCCTGGCGGGAGGGGGCTCCTATCAGGACCCCCCTCCCAGCCTGGGTCATGCGCCACGCCGAGGGGGCCGCCCGCGTCGCCTGACGCCCAGGCGACGCTCTCTCGCCACCAAACGAGCGCGAGCCTCAGCACGCCGCTGACGCTCGCGCTCCCTTCCCGCGGTCTCCTTCTGCAACATTACGATTTCGCAGAAGGAGGCCACGGCCCTCCACTTCTCCTCGCTGCCGAGCATGGCGCGCACCATGCCCGGCAGCGAGACATCCCGCCCGATGACGCCGATCAGGACACGGCGTTCACCCTCCCATGCAGCGCATACCTCGAGGGTATGTTCCGCCGTGTCCTGCTCAGCGTCACAATGGCAGCAACGCGCCGTCGGCTCCTTCCCTATCCGGCACAGGTATCTCCCGAAGCTGCCATGCCCCGAGAACACCTGTGCCATCCTGTAAGTGAGGCTTCCATGGCCTCTGTCCAGCCACTCACATAGGAGTGGCCGAACAGCCCCGACTGTCCGGTGCCCCGCGGTAGGCAGAGCCAACCGCTCTTGCCACGCGTGCACCACGGACTGCCGGGCCTGGCGCTTCAACTCGCCCCAAGCAGGTTCCTGCACACCCGGGACCGCCCCCACCCCCGCGCGACGGTCGACGCGGTGACGATACATCATCGCGTGCGACCGCGCGAGGAGATCCATGGGCGGCATCCCCGCAAGAACCGTCGCCGCCTCATGTGACACGGTCCGGTACCCGCGGACGACCCTTAGAGCCATCCGCCTCTGCACCCGACGCAGCATAGTCATGCCGCGCCGGGAGGCCGCCAGGTCGTCCGCCCAGACGGGGGCCCCGTATAGGACCACCGACTGAACCATTGCCACATAGAGGCGGCGAACTCGGCCCGCCGGGCCCCCCAGGTTGGGCAGAATCCGGCCCAAAGCCCCGACCATCCTCTCCAGCCGGGGGACCAGGCAGCGGAAATGCTCCTCGAAGCGCCAGTGGCTATCGAGGATCAGCCCCAGATACCTCATCTGGGGCTTCACCTCGATATTAGCCTCACCCACGCGGATCAGAGGGGGTGGCGGATCCTGCCGAGGTGAATGGAACGCTATCACCTCGGTCTTATGGACCGCCACCGTCATCCCCATCCCTCTGATCCGGTCGACGACGCGTTGCGCCCCCTCCTCCGCGAGACGCTTGGCCCTCCCCCAGTGCGCCCCGACGGCCAGCACCAGTGTGTCATCTGCATAACACACGGCGCTGACGCCGTCGGGGAGGTAGGCCGGAAGGAGACCTGCGGATTTCTCCGACCCGCACATCTCCCTCGGGGCAACCACCCGCCCTCGATAGGGCACGGGACACCTCCTGCGAGGTGACCGAGTCGTCCATCCCACATATGCGCATCTCTGTGCGCTTCGTGGGCCGGGCGACTCGGACACTCCGCTCGCCCAGCTGCTCCTGGAGCCTCTGGGCGAGTCGGTCCGCCTTCACGCCGCCCTCTGGACCAGGAATCTCCAGCAGGAGACCCTCGGCCACGGTCCTCTTTGCCCTCACGGAAGCGATGCCAAGCTCCTCCAGGGATATATTATCCCTGGCTGGGCTATCAGACGGCTAGGGCGCGTAACGCGACCTCGGGTCCGGATGGTGTGCCCGGCCAGGGCGTCCTTGAGGCTGACCTCAGGCGGTTGTTTGACCGATGCCTGAGGGAAGGGCGTCCCCCCCTCCCCCTCCCCAGTTGGACGGTGGCGACAATGGTCCTCCTCCGGAAGGATGGTCGGCCCGCGGAGTCTCCCTCCGCATACCGGTCCATCTGTCTCCTCGACAAAGTGGGCAAGCTCTTCGAGCGTGTGATTGGTACCCGCCTCGTCAAGCACCTGTCGCGGGGTGCCCCCGGCCTGGCCGACTGCCAGTACGGTTTCCGGGAGGGTCGATCGACCATCGACGCGATAGGTCGTGTCAGGGCCCTCTCGGAGTCTGCCGTCTCCCGGGGAGGGGTGGCTTTGGCAATATCCTTGGATATTGCCAACGCCTTTAACACCCTGCCCTGGGAGGAGATAAGGAGGGGGCTCGAATACCATCGGGTCCCCCCTTGTCTCGGGGCGGTCATCGGGGATTATCTCCGCGGCAGGTGGATCGAGTATCCGGGCCGGGATGGACATATGCGGAGGGAGGTGTACTGCGGCGTTCCGCAGGGGTCGGTCCTCGGGCCACTCCTGTGGAACATCGCGTACGACGCAGTGTTGCGGGCCGACCTCCCCGACGGCGTC